ACCCTGCTCCTTCCCCACCTCTTCCTGAACCACACCCTGTAGTGCGTCCCCTTCCCCCCACTCCCCTCCCCCCAGTCCTGTTCATTTAGCTCTCAGTTAAGGTAATACTTTGCATTCTCTGGGTGGACTCAGTCTTTCCGTAGTTAACTCTGTATGAACTGTTTCTAGGTTGCAGTGCGATTTTTCAAGAACTAGTGACTGAGCAGTCCGGCCCCAGGCAAATGTGCGCTTGTCTTGCTCTGTTTGGAGGTAGAAAAGACAGTCCACTCGTATTCTTGCGCTCTTCTCTTTCTATGGATATTTAAACAATAGAAATTATAGTAATTACAAGGAATCTACTGCAAAAAGAAATTCATCTTTCATACTTGCAAATTCTTTAAAGGTCTCCTGCTGAGTTTAAGCAAAAGGTCTGAACTGTTACTGTTACTTTCTTGAAAATTGTTTCCAATTATTTTTCTTTTCTTATTCCCACTTAAAACCCAGCAACATCTAACAGCCTTTGTCTAAGAGGTACAGTCCATTAAACCAGTGGAGTCAGAACTGTTTTAAGTGATAACTAAGAGTGTAATGATTGTTTTTGTAGGATTTTCAACTTTGACTCCTTAACAAATCACATAAACTGTGTCTTCTGTCATCACTAGATTTTTTTTTTTCAGTGCTGGGTTAAATCTGGGCCCTCACACGTGCTAGGCAAACTTTGTATCCTGAGTATATTCCTAGTCCTTTGTATTTTATTTTGAGACAGTGTCTTGCTAATCTTCCCAAGTTGGCCTCAAATTTGTGATCCTTCTGCCATAACTTCCTGAGTATCTGGGATTACAATATGCATCATTGTACTTGTGTGGTCATTGGATTCTAATATAGCGGACAAGACCTAGATAATCTGTTTCATTGTTGTTACTAGTTTAAGTTTTCCAAATGATGCTGGTGTTGAGCCATGAAATTAACAAGTCTCATCTGTTTATGCAGCTTCATCTGAAAGCTTTCCTCTACTCTAATTCCCATCACTCAAGCAGGTCCTTTTTTGGATTAGTTACTGTTCAGATTCAGCAAGCCTCACACACCCTAGAAGGTGAGCAAGTGGAAAAGTGATGATCTTGCTTTCTGAACTGGAAACACAGGCATTGCATGGTCCAAGGGAGTTCCCCTAGATTTTGAGCAAATGAGAGAGGAGTTAGAAAGGGGCTCTGATGAAATCAATTAGATCAAAGAGAATTCTTTGTCCAGTGTCAGGTGGTTTTGTGCATAACATGCACTTTATAATGAACAAATTAGTAAGTGCTGTGGTCATCTGTAGCTGTTCCATCTCGAGACCATCTCTTAAGAACAATACATTGTGAGTGAGACCTTTGCCTTTCATCTTGACCTCTGTGTTTTTCAAAATCTTTCTGTGGTTAAGGCAATAAAATTGCAACTCAGCTATGCCTTGGTAATTACATGAGGACAGTTCTGAGGACTAATTATTTCATTTACTTAAGCAGAAGATGGACAATTACCTGAAAGGCAATCTTGGGTTCCTGTCTAACTAAGTATCTAACTGCAGGGATGCTTTTGCTGTGTCAGAACCTTCTGCTCAGCCCTAGGTCTTCATGGCTTTAGAGGAATGGAACCTCCAAGAATATATTAACAAGTTCCCTGAGCTGGCCAGATGATTAGTTCAATGTAAGAACCACTTGTTTTAAGGGTCTCTTGCAGGGGTGGTTGAAGTCATTGTTCCAATTTTATGTACAACTCCAAGGGTTTTTGACTCCTGCTCAAAGGAGAAAGCATGTTTCACCAGTCCCAAAGGTGTTTCTGAAACAGATGGCCCATGTGTCTCACTACTCTGTCTCTTGTTTGGCAAAAAAGTGGGGAGGATGAGGAGAAAACACGACCCATTTGTGAGACTCAACAGTCACCTGTCCAGGTCCTGCCAACAATGCAACTGCCTGCCTCAAGACAAGGGAGTGACTTCAGGGACAGAGCTGGCTTCCTGCTGTCTGGCTTCTTGAAGGCCAGAACTACACACACCTTCATGATTTCCCTTGAGGAAATCAAGGTGAACTTTGCTTGCCTCACTTTCCACAATTTGATTTGAGGTCCTACTTGTATATTTTTGCTAGAATTGTTCTGAAAAACAATTTTGTTTTCTCCATGACTTTCAATACTCAAGTATGCACAATATTGTCCCATACCAAATCCAGGTTCCTCTGCAAATGATTTAAGGCCATGGATCACGTAGCCCTTTGGAATTTCCAGCTTTGTCTTCTGTGGTGACTCATGAATGACCAGCTTATATACGTGACAGCTTGAAGAAACATTTCTGCCTACAAAGTCCTTTCCATGACCATTTGATAGACTCTTCAACTTTCAACCCTAAACTAAAGCTTGATTCATCCTGTAAAGACATCTTTGACCTTTCCAAGTAGGTTTATTATCTCCTCTGAATCTTATACGTACCTCTGTGAGAGCATTTTACTATTCCATATTACATTTATTTTAAAGTCTATTCACAATACCATGCTTTAATAATATTATTAATAAGAATAAAAATCATAGTGGCTAATCTACATCCATTAATTATTGCAAGGTCTTGTGCTTTATGCTTTATAGGAATGATACCCTTGATTTCTTTTAAAATCTTTAGGAATAGGTACTATTAATAGAAAAGAGTAATTTAATGCTGGAAAATATCTCTGTTGAAATTAGGTATTTCTTAGTAGACACTTTGTAAACATTTACTGAACAAATAAATAATTGATGTATAATGAATGAACAAAAAATGATGCTAAGTTTTCAGCAAAATCGCCAATTAAAAGCTGTGGATATTGCTACTTATAAAGTGGTCAGCAGGGATTCCTGAGAAGTATTTCTGCTTTCACGGAGAGCAAAACAGAAGTGCTAGGGGTGACTTTTTGTTTTCTCTGAAAATTACTTCTTCAACAGTGAGCTTCAATAGGAAATTTAGACATATAGAAATAAAATACATATAGGAAATGGTATAGAGAAAGTGATCTTAAAAGCCAAGTCAAGGGAGAAAGTGTGGGGCCACGTGTGGTTATTGTGACCTGGTCACGGCTTGATCGCTCAGTAGTTCCCCCACCCAGTGGGTGAGGCCATTCCATTCACCCTGAGCCCCAGCCTTGCCTCTACCCTTAGAACAAGTCCGGTCCTGCCTGAAAAGCACAGGTTCTGAGTCCTGCCTCAAAGACAGCACCCTCTTGCCCTCTGACCTTGCAGCAGAGCATCCATAGCGTTGGTGTCCTAGTTCTTATAATGGGGCTTTCTTTCTGCTTCTCATTTCCTCTGTGAGCTAGATTCAGTGATGAGATGGGTGTCTTAACCCAATAGTTGATCTTCATTTGGTTAATCAGCTTCCCGGTCAAGTTCCAAGAAGCGCCTTGAAACCAAGAACCCCCTGCCTGCCTGGGAGGCCTACCTGACAGCACACCCCACTCTCTGAACATGCTTGTCTGCTCACGTGAAGGTACCATCTCTGGCACATCATTTAGTGAGTGATAGCATCTGGCTGAGTTTAAAATATCCATCAGTATCTGTCATGCTCCATTTAGTTTGTGCAGGTGCTAGACAGGAAAGCCAGGGAATACAGTGAGGACCATAGTCCTGCATTTCCTGGTGTTTGATGCTGGTATTAGCATAGACAGTCCTTTTAGGAATGCAGTGTTATTTGTAATTTACTCTCTTGGTTGCTGGGGAGGCTGGGTAGAGGAACATATCAGGTTCTTAAGACCAAGTTAAAGAAAATCTAAGGTAATGCTTATATGTTTCCAATACAAATGGTGAAATTTATAACCATAGTCATTCCTAACCCTGGGGTGGGGAGTTGGTTCTGGGACAATTTCCACTGCAGATACAAATCTATGGATGCTCAAGTGTCTTATATACAATGCTGTGGAATTTCACATATAAGCCATACACATCTTACCACATAATTAAATCATCTCTAGGTTTCTTATAACACTCAGTACAATGTAAAAGCTGTATAAATATCATGCTGTTTTGTTCATAGAGTAAGGACATGAAAAAAATGTTCATATTCAAAAAAGGCACAAGGTTTTTTTTCTGTATATTTAAAATGTATAGTGGGTTGAATACATGGATGCACAACCTGTGGAGACATGGAAGGCTGACTGTACCAAAGTATACTGGACCATAACTCAGAAAAAACAAAGTAACATTGGGAAAGTAATATTTCTATGTCAAAGTGACCATACATATCAAATGAAATGGACTCTGGTTAAATTGGAATCTGTGTGGTGCTGGTTTAGTTGGTATCTAGGTGAGTTAGACAAGCTATATTAGGGTCCTATTTCCTTATAGGTAAAATAAAAAACATCATTGGAGGTCAATGATAGCACTATAATCAATGACTTATCTAATTATTTTCTGGGTTCCATTATAAAATTGTAATAACTGGAGGAATCTAGGATAACAATGAAGAGGAGTAAATTTATTAACAGTGTACCTTGTACTCTACAAAGAAAAAAGAATATTTTGGAAAAATATTAAAATTTCAAAAGTAGAGCCTATATAATACATGCGCAATTATGATATACCTTCTACATACTACTTACATATTTTGCATTTGCATTCCTAAATTATGTTATTTGATAAATAAATAGCCAGCAATTCAAAGAAATAGTGTATTTTTAAGAAGATCTGCTCATTGCCAGGCCTGGGGGTACATGCCTGTAATCCCAGCCTGCTGGGAAGCTGAGGCAGAAGAATTGCAAATTCAAGCTCAAAATAGCCACTTTGACAATTTAGCAAGACTTTTTCTCAAAATAAATAATACAAAAAAAGAAATGGGAGCTACTCAGAATAAAGACCCTGAGTTCAATCCCACCACTGGAAAAAAAAAATTGTTACTGAAGTTTTATGTTCAGATCTTTTTCTAGCTGTGAAGTTGCTTCATTGCCCTCTGTACCACTATTCTGCAATAAATGTTATTTTTTAGTCTTGAATAAAAGAATAGAAATGAGACAGAGTAACTCATTGACTTGATTTAAAATAGTTCATGTTTTGTAGTTTAGAGGAACTGAGAAGTATGCCAAAGGACAAGAGGGGGAATGAGGACAATATTTGGGTCTGATTTGTGAGAAAGCCAGAAATACATTTGCATAGTTTAGCAAGACAACTAGGGGAAAGAGCAGGAGCTGGAGCAATCACTTCCAAACTGCAGGACCAACCGCCAGCCATCAGAACCCCAGGGGAACCTGGACTGGGGAAATTCCACTCTGCGCCACTGGGAAGGCTTCAGCGCCTACCTTTGCCAGCAAATATTATTGAAAGGATGCAGATTCTTTCCTTTCTCTAAGCCTGCACAGGAAAAAATAAAACACATTTTATAAAATGCAGACACATCATAGCAAAGTGAATAGAAGAAAAAATATCTTACATAAGATGATTTCCCTAATCCAGAATTTTATTTGAGAATTTAAGGAACAAATAAGAACAACCTAGGGAATATAAGTATATTGCACTATATATGTTAGAGAAACAACACAGGTATTAAAAATACAGAGTTAATTTCAAAAGCACAGACTCCAATGTGCAAATGAATTTAGAACCACTACACAATTTTTCCCAAAATATTAAATGATTGTCCCAGAAAGAGAAGACAAAGCAAATCTTTTAAAAAATAAACTTACGTCAAAATGATGCACAAATCGTAACTCCTATACATAACGTATTCAGAAATAATTTTGAAGTTAACTTTGTTTGTATTAAGTAACATAGGTATGTGGAATTTTTAATTATCAGTATTTGACAGTAGAGGTTGAGTTTCTCCAATTCAAAGTGCTTGGAACCATAACTATTTCAGATGTAAGGGATTTTTTTCCAGATTTTTGATATTTGTATAATACACATAATGATATAGCTTGCGGATGGGATTCAAATCTAAACATGAAACTCATATTTATACTTCATGTACAGCCACTAGGCATAGCTTAAAGGTACTTTTATACAATATTTTTAGTGTGCCTGTATTTTGCTTATGACCTGTCACATGAAGGTCAAGGGTGGAATTTTCCACTTGTGCCATCATGCTGGCACCCAAAAAGTTTTTGAAGTGTTTTGCACTTCAGATTTTCAGATTGGAGCTCCTCAGCACATGAATGCAATTTTTAATGGAAAAATGTGTGTTCATATGCCTTGAAAAATGACTAATGCTTTTGTAGGCAAAATCAATTCTCCTTAGTAAAATTCTTTGCTCTAGGCACCACTAATGATCACGAAGCAGCTCCACAGTGTACCCAGCACAGAGGGTTATGAGATGGGCAAGGGGTCCCAGTGGTGCACCCTGGCATGGAAATCATAAGGCTAAGAAATACAGTCCACATTTCCTGATTACTAACTCAGATTCTATGCTAAATTTTTCTCTATGTCTGTTACCATTTAAAGGAACACCTAGGCTATTTAAATCTATCTTCGAATAACCAGATATTATTGCAGGCTTTAATTTAATTAAGCTGTCTAGTTCCCTGATTGATAAGGGATACAACACACTAGTACACGTAAAACCCTTTATAATATTTATGCTAAGGAGAATAAGCATTCTAAAAGAACCAGAATGATGAGTCTTTTCAGAAAAATATAGTATTTCAAACTTGTTTCCTATACTTCCTAATGAAGGAAATCGTCTCTCTTAGGAACCATTTCTACAAGTTCTCCACCACCTAGAAGGCGCAAAGAGGGAAAAACCACAAGGTCTTGGTTGGTCTTGAGAGAGTATTATGAGTCAAGCACAGTTCCTGCAGTTTTCATGCTTTACTGTCTGACAAGCAGATGAAAATACCCAATTGAAGGCGAGATGCTCCACCTCTTTCTGACCTATTTTGAAGAGATCTGTTTGCCATTAAGTCTTCTTAGGAGAAGTTGTTGCCAACTCTAGACTCATTTTCTTTTTCTTTTTGCAGAAAATCATGAATACTAATAGATGTACATCACGTTTCTTATTTCCCCATTCAATTATTTTACCTTTCCAAGCCAGGTTTTTCACGATTTAGGCTCAAAAGTTGAGTTCTTAGTCTGGCACCATGTATGTGTTCACCGACTAATGACTTCTATGAACTGAGCTCTCCGTAGGCTTCTGGCTCTTGTTCTAGTACTCAAGTTTGTGTTTTTCAGCACTTACTTTCTGCCCATGTTAACTATTTCAATTGATAGGTTCCAATGAAAAGCAATCTAATTTCAATTCTGTTTCACTAAGGAAATAGTTTCCTTCATTCACTATTGGTGGAAGTTTAAAGAACATAACTGCTTTGGGAGGCATTTTAGTAATGTACAATATTTAAATGTGTGTAAAAATCTGCACATAGATTCTACCTGTAGGCATTTATTACCCAGAAATGTATAAATGGAATAATTGGCAGCAATTTCTGAAAAATGAGAAATTTCTATTCACTAACATAGCAAGATGACTATGGAATATTACTAAGTAAAGATCAAGGATATGGAAGAGCATTATATACATAGTTTTAACTTATATAATGAATTCAATAAATTAATTTTTATATTCTATATGTAAGTTTGTATATATTCATGGAATTGTTAAAAGTTACTAGCAAGAAAATCAATGATTTTTGTCTTCTATGTTGATACAGTTTGAATTTCTGTATCAAACACTATCAAATTTTTTAAACATTGAAACTATTTCCACTTGGAGTAGAAAATTTTCCACCATGCAAAGAAGAGAGCACTGACATATTTTGACTATGGTATGCCAAGCTATAGATTTACTTCTCTATGTATGTATTTATTTATTTATTTTTGGATCTTGCTAATGGAGTTCTATATGCCTTGTTTATCTGTATGTCAAATTCTTTTTGTCTTCCAGGAAAATTTTCTGTCAGGATTCCACAAACATTTTTTTAATGCTGTTTGTGATATCTCCTGCTTGTTCATTGACTCCAATTAATCTTAAATTATTCTTCTTTATCTCATATAGAAGTTGCTGGGTGTGATTTCTCATGGTCCTTTGCTAGTTTTGATAAATCTTTCTTTTCCTAGTGGCTAACTCCAAGCTTGTCTTCAATCTCTGAGATCCTGTCTTTGCATTGGCCTAATCTACCTTGAATATTTTCAGTAGTGTTTTTATCCTCCTGAATATCTGCTTGAATCTACTTTATGAATTCCATTTCTTTCCTGTGCTGAGCTTCCATAATTTGTTCAAACTCCTCTATGTTTTTGTCTGTATCTGCTCTAAAGTCATTAAGCATGGTGTGTATTTTGGTAATCTCTATAGTTATCTGAGAGATTATTTTTAATTTCATTTTTTCCAGAGCCTCATTTAATTGCTTTGTTGTTCTCACTTCAGAGAGACCTGGTGGAGGGCTTTCAGATCATCCCACCTCACTGCCCCCTGGATTTGCCTTTGGTTAGCAGAATGCCTGAGGCTGCATTTAGCTTAAGTGTTTTCTCATTCTATTTTCTCTCTTATTTTTAGTTTAACTCCTGGGGTGATGTGTGTAAGTTGCCTATGGTGGGTTGCTTTGTTCATTGCATTTAGGACCCTTAGGTAATGACTACTTCTCTGAGCTATCTTCTAGGTGTAGCTAGTCTTTGAATTTTGAGTCTGTTGGAAGATCTTACCTCTTCACTTTTTGGAGATGAGAAGTTGTTGCTTGTTTGGCCTAGTCCTTGGTTCCTTGGTCTTGTGCCACCATGTTTTCTGTGACCCTTAGTTAATCTCAGTCATGGATTATCAGGACCAACAGCTGTTTAGAAAAACTATGAAATTTTGGCTGTAGTGATACTAATAACATCAAATACAGCTTTGAAAACAACAAACTGAGTTAACCCTTAATTTGCAACTTTTAAGCATATAAACTATATTTGTGATTATATAACAAAATATGAAACAAACCAGATAGTTATATGCAATATATAAGTCCATAATGTGTTAATTTTGCCCTCAGGGTTAATATTTAAAATGAATTAAGAAGAGAATAGAGAACTAGAAGAAGAGAAAGAGATTCAAATTAAGGTTGGAGAACAAAAAGAGATCATGCAAACTTGAGGAAACTGATATGGAAGACTGAAGGAAAAAGGAGATGGAGGAGATAAAAAAGGACAGAACCACAACCACAAAGAGTTTGGGAGCAGTGACAACACATTCACACTCATATATAAGCAATGAAGGAGAAAAAGAAAATAAATAAAACAAAAACAAAAAAACAAACAAAAAATAAACATCCCACTTCCAGGTTTCTCTCTGATTTCACTGGTAAACAACCTGTGGAGACAGAGTCCCAAATCATTCCAGTCTGTCCCAGCAAGCCAACGGTTGCTTTATGGCAGAGTAGTGGATAACCTCAGCAGGGCTGCCCTAAGACCAGACTCACTGGGCTTGCCACAGCCCAAACAATTTACACAGGTGCCCGGCCAAGAGCTGCTAGAGGAAGCCTGCAGCAGTTCTTAGTTCTGGTCTTATCCGGTCTGTCTCCAAAATGGCTCCCTGCTAATCACTCTCTCCCCATGGAAGGAGTAGGTTCTCTGCACTCACCACTGGCCAGTGCAGTCCTCCATGTCCACTGCTCCCTCTACTTCTGTGTCTCTCTGCAGAGGTGTCTGATCGTCAGCTGTCACTGCTCCCATGACCATGCATCACCACGTTTGAACAATTCCTCGCATGCAGTGAGTCCTGTCTCAGGACAAATGAACCGTGGGCCACAGCTTCCTCCTTCTTCATTGAAAATTTTCTTTTTAGAAAATTTAGAGGAAAATTCTTCTTCTCTCTCTGTGGGCTTTAATTTACACTTCGGAGTTTTCCTGGGTCCAGGGGACCTACTTCTTTTCTTCTTGTCTTCCTCACAATGCTATATTCCAGTGTCTGGACAGTGACTCTCAGGGAGACCACTTTCTCTGCTGATCACTGCTCTGCCATCTTTCCAGAAGTTCAATGTCACTAATCTTCTTAAACAATAACTATAAAATATAGTTTTCTGCTTTACAGATGAGAAAGTCAATTGTCATAGAAACTAAAGGACTTGCCCAAGGTTGTAAGCTAGTGAATAGTAGAATTTCAGCATGTCAAACTCCAGAGCTCATCTACTGTAAAATATGACTTATAAGGCAATAATAAAATTGTCACAGGTCTATTAGCCTCCACTGAATGACAATTTTAAAGTAATTATAGAATCATACAGAATGATGCTAGCTTCAGAGCACAGATTCACCGTGAAGGATCTTGCAGCTGGAAAAATAATCTGTAGATGTAAAGAATCTTGGAAAGACACAGGATAAATGCAGAAATGCACATTTCACCCAGTGAGACAAGATTGTCATCAAGAGGGAAGTTAACACCCTGATGGCAAATATAGTTCCCAGATGCTTGACATTTGTGCTTTCTTTCTGGATCAGAGTTCACTAGTTGAAGTGTCACAGCAAAAGTGCCTCCCAGAAAGAACGCTCAGTGTTTCCATGTAGTCAAAACTGTTCCTGGAGGAGTTACTCCTGTGCTTTCTCTTTATTGGTCCTGAGTGGCAGCTAGTGTCTACTGAGGCATCTGCCACCCTCCGGTGTTCTCATTTGAGCACAGGTGTCTCATGTTTTCTGCAACTTCAGGTACTCATGTTCATTCTATGTGTTCTCTCCATTTCTCTTCCCCTTTCTCTTTTATTCAATTCTTTTTCTCTTTTTTCTGTTTTATTCCTTCTCTTCCCTAACCTCCTCCTTTTTTCCTTCCCTTTCAAGCATATTTTAATTTCTTTCCTTCTGCCTCTTCTGCTGCTCTCCTCCTCTCCTTTTTTCATCTTCTTTTGGTGGTATTGGAAATGGATTCCAGCATCTCACACTGAGCTACATTTCGAGCAGTCATCTACTTGTTTTTTATTTTGAGATAGGATCTTGCTAAGTCACTAAATTGTCCAGAGTGGGCTCTGGCCTGCATTCCAAGCCTCAGGCTCGCAATGTGCTGGGATTACAGGTGTGTGCCACCACACCCAACTTTAACATTTGTTCAGGTGTTTACTGTAGATCAGAAAGTGTGCCTATGGTTTGACAGAAATACTCTGGAGGTACAATTCATCTTTCAAGAAGCTAATAGGCTGGAGTTAGGAACAGTCACAGACAGTCTGGATGGGCAAGGTGCTGTAGGATTGTAGAGGATCGTGGTTCTGGGGAAAAATGAACTGAAATGTCATGTTTCTTAAACCTAGTTATATGTTAAACCTTTGCAAAGCTTGAGACTAAAATCTACTCTGTTTATTAATTGAAGGTTCTAAGATTTTTGGAAGTAGTAAAGCAGATTAATGTAAACAATGACAGATTTAGAAAACCTGGATATTACTTGCAGTTCTGCCATTATTGATTGTTTCTGGTTTCCCTCTAGGCACCCAGGTGAGTTACTCTGTGTGGTAGAATGGTACCGCTCCCACCCCACTTTGCACAGCAGTCTAAGGCAATCTGCTGCTTTGGGAGGTCTTACAGTATTCTGTGGATTTGTTGTTTCTGAGGTACTGGAGATTGAACTCAGAGCCTCATGCATACTAGCAAGCATCCTATCTCTGAGCCACATCATAAATTACAGTTCTTTATTACAACTTTTATGACATCATATTGATCCTCATGCATCTTCTCCTACTTCTTTTATTCATTCTTGTACCAGAACGTAAGTACAATCACTGACACTTATTGGGCATTTAATAAATATGTGGCTGCATATCTCCTTTGGATTTAGCTCTATTTGTGTAATTTAAATGGCACACTATATCTGCAATGTTTTAAAGTCATGCAAAAGATAAACAGGCTGAAATCAGTACAGTTGAAGACATGAATACAAGTTTGGAAGAAACAGGAGCCTTATTCCTCGTGGATTGAAAGCATAATCTTACAAGCACAAGCAATAGTTTTCACACTATTAAAGCTTCAGGGGATCACACTGGTTCTACTGATCCACAACTGAAATGTTTCCTTTGTTCTGTCACACAATTTTGAAGGTCAATCAGCATCTTTCTTTGAAATGCAAATCCAGTAACATGGTGCTGTCTGACATTTATGTCTTAATATGACTTAAATTAATCCAATGTATTTTTCCCCCAATTCAGTGAAGAATTATGGAACTATCATGAGTCATGCATAATGCTAAACCTGAGATATACAGTGATGGCTGTGGCCCAGCCATACTTCTATAGAACTTATAGCCAGGAATTAGGAACCAAATAACTTAATGTTACACAAATCAATGAAGAGAACAAATATGGGGTGTGTGTGTGTGCATGTGCACTTTCCCTGTGCTACCAATACTTTCTTGGCAACATCTTATGATATCATAGCTGTTTTGCCTATACATTCCTTTTTCACTGTCCTGATTGATTTTTCCACTTTGGCCTACAAGTAATTCATAAATTTGTTTACTTGGTTAAATAAGCCAAAGCAGGTTATAGTTTATGTTCAGAAAGTGCGTTGCCAGCTCTTCAATGGTCCCTACTTACACCCACTGCAGTATGTGTAAGGAATCTCTTTTATGAGTAAGAGGGTAAGTGAAGAAGTTACACAACTGGCTTCGAGTCTGTAATTAGCCACCTCCCTGCTGGATCTTACTCACTCTTCTCAAAACTGTCACCATTTTGAAGCTGAAGAGTCAAGAGTCTCCCATGATCATTATCAGTCACTGTAAATACAGAAGATGATGATACTCAAACTTACCCAGGGCTACCTTTGACTTTGCCTCTTAAATCTAGGATAGAAAATGTAAAACAATTTTTATGTTAAATGTTCTTACCAATTCGTGGGAAGAGAGAAATTTATTATTCCTTAATAAGTTTTCCCAAAACTCCCAAAACATAGGCAATAAGAATGTTTTAGTAGGGGAACTTGGCTTCGAATAACAGGGGAACATGGGCATAAACTCTTACCTAACCTACTACCGATACACACTGAAAACTCATTGTGGGTTTTGTCTCTGATTTTTATTATCCAGAGTGAGGTATGTTTCCTTTTCAGCTTCAAAATTGTCAGACAAAATACTCTCACTTCCTCCAAAAGAAATAAACACGGGAAAAGGTCAGCAGGAGGCATTCCATGGAAGCTACCCAGAGGACAGCAAAGTGCGCGGCCAGCAGTCCCGGCCATAGAGCCTGTGTGTTGTCAGCACTGTGTCGGGACCCCCATCCAGCCCCATGTCTCCAAAGCAAAAGAGGCTTTTTCCTTGAAGACCCTGTCCTGTGACACTGAGGAAACAGTCTGACCTGGTGTGCACATTTTATTCCTGTATTTAAACATTTATCAGTGAAGTAGCCTTTACTGTAGGAATTCTTTTCAGAGTCAAAGGCAAATTGTCTCCCGTGCACCATATTTATGGGCACTCGTCCCCTCCAGAAAGAAGCAGCACCCTAAAACCTGTCTGTGTGATTTATTAACTTCTTCCACTACTTCCCCATCATCTCATTGCCATTTTCCTTGCTCAGGCCCTTGTCATCTCTCAAGCAGAGTTATATCTACTCTCATCTTTAGAGTCCATTCTTCCCAAGGCCACTTGGTTCATCTTTCTAAAATTCACATCTGTCTGTGATTTTCTTGGTTTAAAACACACTCACAGATGTGAAGCACAATTTTGGAGCCTAACTTCATAGTTAATATCTTTTATTAAATAGTTTCTTAATGCAATTAATTGATGAATGAGCAAGGTGCTGGAATCTTTAAGTCATGAATGGGACAAAGTTCAGAACAGAGAAACAAAGTGAGAAATGTGAGATGGGAAGGGATGATATCTTATATATGCCTTGTGTCCTAATATAAAGAGGCCAAAAGTTAAAAAATTAGTAGAGCAGCAACTCAAAGTGCCTATTTCCACATGATTATTAAGACAAAAACACTTTTTAAAAGGGCTTTGCATTTCATTTTGATCTCAGACTGGTAACTAAGGTGGGAAGTTGGGTTACCCAAGGAGGTCAGAAGTCATGTCTTACTTACATTCTGTTGCTCCATGTAGCACAGTACCTTGGTCATAGCAAGGAAAAAAAAGATTTTTTGAAAATTATTTGTCAGTATGAACTTTACAATTAAACTAAATTTGAAAATATGAGTATTATGCTTTCTACTAGTTTTACAGAACTGATAACTACTCAAGTTTTAGTTAAGTTAAATTTCTTCATTAACGGTTAGGGAAGATATTCTTCAAAGAATATTGTATTAAAGTGTATAATATTGAATTTTTAAAGCATGCGTCTCCTAGGTTTGTACTGCCTCTTTGACATACTAGTCCGTTAACACTGTGGTGAAATTGTCAGTAATCTGATGAGAAAATACTCCACCTTATCCACATCAGCAAGTCTTGTGGACTGAGAAGACAATTTCTGGAAGAAGGAAGCAGTCGGTTGTATTTGTTTATACTCCAGAACGTGAAGTATGGGTCCCTGTGTTAAATTTTGGGACAACTTATTGTCTTGAAAGAGTTCTCTCCCTACACAAGACATGATTCAGTGGTCTCATGGTAAGAATATTTGTATTCCACAGGATGGCCCACGTGTTTGGAATGGAAATGTCACTGTTTCTAAGGACAACATCCAATCAGGTAAGAAATTCTGCTAAACCTATTTTATTACTTTTCACAAGTGATAACATGAAACTTCTTCAGTTAGACTCAACTACTTTCTCACATCCTAATTCTTTCATTGCTATTTAAATTGCCAAGGCCCTTTTCTGCTGATCACAGCTATTCTCGCTCATATGAAACCATTAAAGGAAGCTGCGGTTATTTCTAGAAAATCTCAACTGTGCTGTTTTCTTAACGATAGTCAGACCTGAAATATGCTGATATAGGAAGATGATGTTCCTGGCCCACAGAAATATTCTTGAAGTCTTTTTAAAATAGGAATACCGATAGACTCTCACTAGTCTACCTAATTATCATTCCTCCCTATATCTTATTGGATGTTTAATTATTTGGTTTCTAACAGTGAATGAACCTGAACAGACATTTTTTGCCTTAATGGACTTTGACCTTTGCTCACCAGAAACATCTAACTAAACACTTGCCATGGATTAGGTATTCTTCTTGACCATGTTGGCTTGAAGATGGAATCAAACCAGCAACTCGTGCTATTTCCTTTACCTGGAATGCTCTTTCCCGCTCTCCCTGTGCTTTTCTTTCCGTCACTTGGTGACAGACGGACATTCCTGAACTACCTCGTCCAGTGTGGCCAACTTTCACAGCAGTCCTTATACCATGTGACCTTATGTTCTGTTTGCCCCCAAACATGGCACTACCTGCAACTGATTTATTGATTTGGCTCTTTGAATATCACCTTCTCCAGTATTAGAATGTAAGCTCCCTGAGAACAAGCAAGTGCGGCTTGCTCACTATTGAGTCTCCAGGGACTAGCATAATACCTGATACATGTATTGAATAAACAAAAGAACATTAGTGTCAAATAGTTTTTTACAAGAGAAACAAAAATGTGAATCATATAAGTAATCTAAAAATTTCTAGTAGCCACACTGCGGAAGTAAAAAAGAAACAGGTTAATTGTAATAATGTATTTCACTTAAAACATCTTAACTATTTAAAAAATAGTTTTACTATTTTAAAAAATAGTTTTACTTTCTAAAAAATAGTTGAGAATTTTTCAATATATATTGTATATTATAATATTAACTTCAAAATATGTATGTATTTTATTCTATATATAAAGATGGATGAGGTGAGGTTAAATCAATATTTTAATTAAATCTGCAGTTTAGATTACTGGTAGGTGAATTGAATGAGATTATTTATTTATATTAAACATTCCAAATTTTAAATTAGAAATCTGAGGCACTTTAAAATGCACTATGTATTTTATTTTAATTGCCAAGTAATTCCTGAAACAGTACTGGTCCCGAGAGACAGCTACTTAAGAATTCTTTGCAGTTATCTAAGGATCTCCAAAGTAGTTTTTATGTTTCTCTATTCAAATGAACTACACAATTACAATATTAGTAAAATAAGTGCTCAAGCCATAAGGGTCAAAGCTCACCCCAAGATAACTGTCCTACTTTACAGTGGCTACATATGTATAGAAAGAATAGGAGGAAGTTCAAGCCACTGACCATTAAGTAGTCACATCAGGAATGTTTAAAATACTCTGTTCGTGGTTAAAAATAATTTGTACTCCAAGTCCAATGACCATTTGCCAGGGAGAGCCAAAGTTGAGAAATTTCTATTAAAAACATGACTCAGAAGACAAATACAGAGGCTGGTAATGAAGGAAATGATCTGGTAGCTTTCTCAATTGGTTACTCCTATGATCACATGTTCTGAGTGTCTTTAAAAGAGGGTTATCTGGATTCAGGAGGGTTACAGCACCTCTGAAACTGCAGCCTCTTTCTCACCTGAAAGAATAATCCTAGCAAGCTCGCAGAATGTGTGACGCGTTTGTAGGTACCTGGAAACTCGCCTCCAGTGAAAACTTCGATGATTACATGAAAGAAGTGGGTAAGGAAATGTGTTGTGGGATGACTGGTTTTGTAAGTTTTTCTCTGGGAGGAAAAGGCTTATAGCTGGATTTTCACACTGGAAGCATTGGCCAGAAATGACAGTGCTGTTTTCTATACAGAGGCAGCCGAAGATGCAGGTGAGAATCTATTTCTGGAAATTTTCTAAACTAAAACTACAACTAATGCTTCCTAAAGGTGAACCAGTAGTGAAAAGGGTCTACATGAATTTTTATGACCTACACAATGACAAGATTTTACTTTAACTGCAAGATTTTACTTTAATTGGTTTACTTGGCTTTTTCACCCTGCTTCCTTGTCATCCCCTTTTGCATATAAAATATACAATAATTTGGAAATAAAAGCATTTTTATTTGTAGCATGCAAAAACGGAAGCCTCTGTATTTCTCATGCTGGTTTTTTGGTAAATGCATGTTACCAGGATTTTTTTACTAGTCCTAATATCAATCCATTAAAATGTGTGGTGGTTCTATAGCAAACAAAATCTTAATGTCAGACACTATGTTCCTTAAGGGCTTAAGTACTTCTATCTTCCTATGTGATTTTTAGTCAAAGATGTACTGATAGAGGAGCAATGTTAAATATGAAATATGTAAGGAGAATTTTATGTATGTGACGTGTTACCTTTTTTTGTAATAGAGGCTTGTAATATTTTAGACTGTTAATGTGGTTAGTGTATCATTGTGAGTGCCAAATAATCATAACACTAAAGCAATGAAGGTAGAGAGACTTTAACTTCTAATTTGAAAGTACTTTCTTTCCCAGCCCTCATAATGACAAACTCAGATTCAAGATTAGAAACTGGGGAGAATTTTACACAGTATGTTGTTAGAGTTTAGGATTTGGTCTCCTCAATCTCAGAATGATTCCTCTGAATTATATGGCATTTTAAAATTTTATCTGTAACTACTGCTTTTTAATTTAGAAGGAAATCAAGAATTTCATCATGAGAAAGATATAAATTTTCAGAGTAATCAACTCATTGTGATTCCATACACCAATTAATACATACTGCTAGAGAAATGTGAGATTTAATTAACAGAGACTTATAATTAAAAGTCATATAATGCCTCCTGAATGCAATTGGCTGCTCTAAGAAAGGGTGAGTGGGCAGTCAATTAAGAAAGTAGAGTACACTTGTCCCCAAACTCAGCTGTGCTGGAATCCGACTTCATGTTGCATCCACTGTCTACACTCATCTGCTGCAGATATATCCTGTTGTATAGAACAGAGCCAGGACTATACGAAGTGATGTATTATCTTCCTACTCTAGTCACTTTTCAAACCGAAAGCTAAATTAGAGCCATAGCGTTGCTCTTTTTGCAATTTCTCTCTCAGCTCTTCCCCATTTTTAACCATTAGCCACCTTTAGTCAAACAGCCTGGATCTATGTATGTCAACAAAATCCAGTGTATCTACAGCTGGTGTAAATTTTGTGTAACACGTGCAGTGGTTGTAAATTGTGCCCACACCTTACACTAGAAAATATGTTCCTCTTGTACGATGTCAGGAGGTCACGGCTTAGATGATTGGGAACCAAAATATTGTTTTCAAACTATTCTAGTGAGACATCAATTTCTTTTTTTTTTTTTAATTTTATTTAAGGAGAAAAGAGAAAAAAAACAGTGAAAGGGTACAAGTTATACAGATTTACAGAAAAAAAATGAACAATAGGAAATCACTAGTTAATGGATTACATATTGCCATCTTAGAAATAATTGTTCAAGTCACAAAATTAAAGCTTATAGAGTGGACATTCCAACAATGATACTGCAAACAGTTCTGTTCAATGATCCAATAAAATTCTGTGATATCATTTTCTATCTTATACACTTAAATATACATGCAGTTATACAGTTTAGAGCACTTTCTTTTCCTCTCTTTTGTACAATGACTATTACACATTTTGGGTTTCATTGCTCCCACGGTTCTTATTGCTTTTTTGGAAGAGAGTAAAACCAAATGTGACATAACAGAACAGAATCGGTCAAGTCAAAAGGGTGGACATAATAGATAATGTAAAAACATAATACAAGGTGATCAACAGTGGTTACCATAATGCCTCCCGCTATCTCTAATAGAATTGCCTATATCATTAGTTATAATACAATTGAACAAAACAGTAAAGAACAAAACCGACAAAACCAAACCATTGGAGACATTGTAGGAGACATCAATTTCTTAAATTTTGAAATTTTCACAATTGATACCTCAGTCCTCTTTAATATTTCCTGTAATTTATCGAGAATGCTGTCCTCATTCTAATATGGTATAAATGTAGAAAACATTTTTTCTTTTGGAAGAAATCAAAATCTTTATTTCATGGTGCAGTAATTTAGGAAAAAAGCTCAAAAATCTACATTTGGCAGTAACTATTATGAAATGTGATCTTTGTACATGAAAATAGACAAGACTTTAACTGAATGACTGTATTAGTCCCTAAATTCTGCTTCTAACTTTAAATAACTTCTAATGTCTCCCATCCAAGTACTAACCAGGCCTGACCCTGCTTAGCTTCAGAGATCAGATGAGATCGGGCGCGTTCAGGCTGGTATGAAAGTAGACCCATTTTAATATCTAAGAAGCAATGAAATAGTCAAGTTTGCCTCTAGTGGTTCCTAGAGAAACTGGTAGTGGAAAAACTATCTATATACTAAAAGACAATCTCTGTACATATTCTTCTGGAAAATAAGCAATAGTCTCCTGAAGAGTTACATGGAGGAAAGGAAGGGGAAGTTTAAAGAATAACCTTACATAGTACATAGTGCATACCAGTTTTCCTTAGATGGTTTCATGGTGTGGTTATCCACAGAACCTCTTAAATGAGGCCTGAAGGAAGCTACTGGTATCTTTTTTCTATTACTACATGTGCTCAGAGATGAGCATACACACATCGCTCTGACTTTGACAAAGACTTGAAAGGAAATGTAAGCCTGACTTTTTTGTTTTCTTTTCCTAAATCTAGGAGTGGGCTTTGCCACCAGGAAAGTGGCTGGCATGGCCAAACCCAGCCTGATCATCAGTATAAATGGAGATGTGCTCACTATTAGATCAGAAAGTACCTTTAAAAATACTGAGATTTCCTTTAAACTGGGCCAGGAATTCGATGAAGTCACCGCAGATGACAGGAAAGTCAAGGTAAGGAAAAAGGAATCAATGCAAAGTGAACACTTTGTTTAATTAAATTCTTATTTCCTGTAAGAAACTGCATCATAATAACAGATTCATAACAACAGGGGAAAATCCTCTGTCATCAGCCAAAGACCCTGAACTCTGACACCTAACTCACTTTGCCTCTGATATGTAGTCTCTCCCCCATTTTTTAATTAAATTTTTCTTATAGCTTTAAACTTGATTAACATAATTTATGTGTAATGCAATACTTAGAGTATTTGAAATCAAGTAATGAAACAATGCCAGAGAAAGTTTATAAGAATGCAAGTAAAAATGTCACCTATAAGACTCCCATCTCATTTTAAATTTATAATCTGTACTTTCTACAGTATTTTTGCATATTCTAATCATAATATATGTACATTGTATGCTTTCATTTTCAAGACTCACTTATTTGCTGCAATGTATTCTTGTGATTTAGAATTGCTAATGATCTCAAAGTATTCTTTTGGACAGACATATTGCACTTTACATTTTTTTCTGCCTTCATATACAAATTGTAATCACTTTTTGTCACGTTTGCAGAGCATCATAACCTTAGATGGGGGTGCCCTGGTACAGGTGCAGAAATGGGATGGAAAAACAACCACAATAACAAGAAAAATTGAGGGTGACAAGTTGGTGCTGGTGAGTATTTTCTAGGTGCTACCACTGGGTTATCTAAAGGCCATTATTTTGCTTCAGAATATTGGCTTTACTCAACTTAGGGTCTCTGAAGCTAAGCAGGGTACATCTACTTAGAAGTTAGATAGGAAAGTAACGCCTTCCTTACATAGAACCACAGGGTTGCTTTTACCGGGACTACGTTTCCATTCTGGCAATTGCTGTTCATGGTTTGTCTTTGTTTTGGGGCTCTTTGTTTTTTGGCACTGGGGATTTCACCAGCAAGGGTCTCCCACTTTTAAGCACACTTTACCATGAATCTACCCTCTCTCCCCTTTTTGTGGAGCTCAGCCCCAACCTGCTGGCCCCCAGCCTAGGCATTCTTTGCCTCTCCCCAGGGTTCAATGAATTGTGCTGTGTTTCTACTTGTCTCATTTGCTTACCAGATTGATTAAAATGTTCCCTAGAGGAAAACATGTATTTGAGCTTTGTATCTCCCTCAATTATGTATATTATTTTCTTTCCAAGACTGAGAAATGGCATAATATAACATGATGTAGTACCGTGGTGACCAACAATTTTTTTCTCCTTCTTCTTCCTCCCCGTCCCCTTCCTCCTCTTCCCCTCCCTTTTTCCTCCCCTCCCCTCATTCCTCCCCCACCTTCCCCTCCCCCATCCTTCCCCTCCCCCTCCTTCCCCTCCCCCCACCTTCCCCTCCCCCTTCTTCCCCTCCCCCGCCTTCCCCTCCCCCATCCTTCCCCGCCCCCACCCTTCCCCTCCCCATCCTTTCCCTCCCCCATCCTTCCCCTCCCCCATCCTTCTCTTCCATTTCCTCCTTCTCCTCCCCTTCTTCTTCTCCTTGCCTGTGCATCTAGGTATGTGTCATGAATGGTGTCACTGCTACCAGGGTTTATGAGAAAGCATAAGCCAAAGGACACAAACCTGGACTGAAGTTTGCAACAAACTCTACAACATTTTTTGGATGTATTGTTCAAAACGATAATTATTGTTTTCCCCCTAAGTAGCAGGCAATTTTCCCCCAACTTGGATTGTATTGAATATGATCGTGTTGGTTAAATAAAACTTTTTAGATTTAGAAGGTGGTGTAATTATATATTTATTGAATAGAATAATTATATACTAATGAGTGAAAAAATAGAAAATCTGCATTATTGTTTTGCTTCTGATAGCAGTAGTAAGATCTCTCATAATAATGCAACATAAAAAAAGTAACATCCACGGAGTTTTTGATTTTCCTAAGTAGGAGGTAAGTATGTATTGTGACAGAACATTTAGTGCCTCTTTTACATATTTACCACCAACAAACTATCGTTCAGGGTGTAAACCAGTTTTAAACACAGGAAAATATTCTACAGCCTTCAGATCCAAATGCTCACATGTCTTACCTACTTTGTGTGAGAACATTCCAAAATACCAGTATGTACAATATGTGTTGTAGAAAAAAATCTCTACATAAATTCTAGCCCCCAAATAATGGCAAACCAGGTGTTTTAGTCAGTTTTCCATTGCTGTAACAAAATATTTGAGACTGAGTACTTTATAAACAAAAAAGTGTATTCACAGTTTCACAGCTTACAGTTTTGGAGGTTTAAATCCCAAGTGTAAGCAGCCTCATGGATTTGCTCTCTAGTGAGAACTTCATGGTGATTTGTACTACTGAGGCGAGTGTGTAAGGAGCAATCACACAAACAGACTGGAAACTCGAAAGCAGGAGAGGGGCATCTTACTCATTTGTGGCTTTTAACCAGGGCTCCATCAATCCCTTCTGTGGGCTGTGTCCTGCACTAATCTAATCACCTTCTAGTGGCCTCCCCTGGAAGATTCCAGCTCCTCATCACAGCCACACTGAGGATCAAGTTTCAGTGCATGAGTGTTTAGGGCACAAATCACTACCAACTATAGTGAAAGGCTGTCTCCAAAATATCTGCAGAATTCAGGGCAAATAATTCCAAAATATTTTTTCCCAGAACAGTGGTGACAGACTTGTTCATGAATAAGAATTCAAGCCTTATTGTAGTAGTAGTTTCCAAAAATTTATTTTTCTTGCCAGGTGTGGTGGGACACATTTGCAATCCTAGCATTCGGGAGGTTAAGATAGGAGGATTCGCAGAAGTTCCATAGTGAGGGCTGCATAGTGAGTTTGAGGTCAGGTTGAACTACTGGTTGACTCTGTCCCAAAAAACTCTAACAAACAATCAATTTGTTTTTACTACCTTAACTTTTTATTCAGATAAAATCTCTTTGGACTCTCAATATAAGAAGCATACAAAAAGTGATAATATTGCTTTTCAGGTAGTGTATGTGAGCATATGTGTTTTTCCTGCCATTTGTGGAAATCACAATGCACCTCTATATATTACTAGGATTTGGTTACATGGTTTAAAACTTCTCAGTCACATGCTTAGATTTCATAATTAGACAAAACTCTTACAGTGTAGACTGCAGGAAGATATTAGGTTAAGTGAAATAAGCCAGACACAGAAAGAAGACTGCATGTGCAAGTTTAAGAAAAGGCAAGAAAATTCTCTCTGGATGTACAAGAGTGATTTACTAGAAGTTGGGGAGGTGGAGGAGGATAAAGGGAGGTTGGATTTCATCAGTGTATGCTGTATGCAAGTATTGAAATATCACAAAGAACCACATTAATAGCTACAATTAGTATGGATTAACCAAAAATTAAAAAATAAAGCATATGTTGTAGTTGATATCATTGTTTGTGATTTTGTCTTAAGAAATTTAAAAAATAGCTACCCATCATATTACAGTGATATATGCAAACTCACGTTTATGACAGCACAACTCGTAACGTATCTTGGAGGTGGCCTGTGTGTGACAGATAAAGATGAACAGATAAAGAAAATGTGGGATTTATACACAGTGAAGTACTTCTCTGCCATAAAAAATTATAAATGAGTCATTTTTAGGAAAATGGTAATTGATAGGTAGCGTTAAGTGAATAAATCAGACACACAGGTTTAAATATTGCACAGCCTCTCTTACATGAAAAACCCAAAATACAAATAGAGCAAAGTGAAGGTAGATAATAAAAAGTAGGGAGACTGAATTTTGTAAAAGGGAAGGGGACCAAGAGATGAAGAGAGGAGAAAGAGAGGTAGAAAGAGGATGAAAAAACGATTAAGATGTGTTATGTGGATGTACCAACTCCCCTTGAGGAATATAATCATTGTGTACTGAAGTCATATACCAATAAAAAATAAATTTAGAATGTTCTAAAAAGTTAGTCCAAAACCATTACTTTTCTGAGTACTGTGTGTGTTTGTATGGCAGGGGTTGAATCCACAGTCTTTATACTGAGATATATTTGTCCTGCATTTCATTGTGAGGTACAATTTTACCAACTTGCTTATGTTGGGTTTCAACTTATGATCCTCCTTCGTTAGCCTTCCAGAGTTCTGGGATTACAAGCATATTCCACTGTGTCAGCCCTGAGTACCTAGTCTGTGTGTCACATTACTACATAAAGGCCAGAGCTGTGGACAAATATGAATTTCCTTTCTTCACATAAACAAGTAGAACTCTCAATATGGACTAACAGCCAGAATGAAAGACCTATTGAGGTCAAGGCCAAGAAAGGAGATTGTGTCCAACCCTGACTTAATCACTGCTAAAGAGATAAGGAACACTAATGAGGAGGATAATAAATACTGCTTAGATCTTTCATCATTCATTTATAAAATATTCATCTAGCATTTACTATGTGGCTAGCACTGCCAGTAATATAGAGCTCAGTGAGAGATAATTGCTATTGCTTGATATGCTCCAAGAACCGCTCTCAAGACAGCTTTCTGTCATGAGACAGCTGGTTATAATACTGTGATCCACGTTCTCCAGTATACTTCAGTGAGGGTGGTACAACTGCAAGACATAATGGGGATCCACTAGCCCAGAGCAGGCTTCTCAGAGGAGGAGGTGTTACAGGTGAGTCTGGCAAGCTGGGTAGTTGCTGCTCACGTGGACAGCTACATGTGACACACGTGACTGGTAGCTGTGAAATTTCACACAAACCCTCTGCTGGGGCTTTTCACAAAGACACATTAATTATGAAGGCATAGACTGCAAGTGACAATAACTCAGACATGAAGAATTTAAATAATGTGTGAACTCATATAATAGTGCTTCTTGAAAGAAAGAAGCCCTTGGTCCCTCCCACCTTTCTCCTCTGCCTTTTAGATTCTGGCTCCTTCCTTGAGTTGGCATCCCAATACATGAATTAGAGTCAGTATCATAGAAGAAACAAATGTGCCCAGACAGAAAAGAGACTCATCTCTTACTCAGACTCCCTTCCTAGGGTGGAGAAGCCAGAAATTGGTTTTTGCTTTTGTCACATGGGCCAATGGAGTTCCAAAGTAAACCACGAGATGGCTTCTAAATCAATCCATGGCAGGAGGATCAGAGCGACAAGGACAGTTATACAAAAGGGAGACCTTTGTCACAGTGCTCCTGGTTAACATGCATCGTGATGCAAGTTTGTTGCTTTTCAAACAGAGAGAACACAGACATGCAGAATCAGTAAAGAAGCTCTAGTAACTTGTTTTCCCTCCTAACATCACCGCTGAACGCACCTTCACTTGCTCATGCACTTATTTTAGCAGGAGTCTGTTCTATGAAATTGATTCTAGTAGGATCTTTTTTGTACCTTATTTTGATCTCCAGATACCTTAGTGACTTTTCAATCTATAGGGACATGGAGTTATAAAGTCTTTCTTTATGTTTTGTTCAAAAGAAATTCAATATGATGTTTACTAACTACTTTGTGTTTCCAAAATAGTAACCTCTTATTTGCTTTGCTCATACAGAGATGGTTTAAATAGACATCTCCTTAGGTTGAAGGAATATTTGACAGTCAGTAAAAAGTGTGAAATTTCTTGACTTTGTCTCTGATTGTGTGTCTTTCCAGCATTTCAAAACAACTAAGGGTTTAAAACGGGAGTATAGATCTACAATACTTCACAATATAATCCTTTTTAGCCTGGTACATGCAAAGTTCACTTTCATTAGTTGTATTGTAGAAGATTACTTCAGAAGTAGTTACACAGGCACTTAATTTATTTATTTCATTTGTGATTCTTTTAGTATGGAGATGTCAAATATGATTTTTTTATTTTGAAATGAGAAAAGTAAAAATGATGGTGCAGAATTTCAAAACAAATTAATAGGAGATAACAATGGTTAATATATTTTGTATTGTTATCTTCAAATTAGTTGTGCAGATTACAAGCTATGGGCATCAAAAATGATCAAACAATGAAAGCACAAAACATTCTTTTTGATGAACCAATAGAGATTAGTAGTAAAATTATATTTCTTGTATGGAATCTTTTCCATTTTTTCTTTGTTTCCCCATCCCAATTGTCCTTTCCTTTTGAGAAATTTCTTCCCATTTTATTTCACAATAGCTATTTAAAATCTTGGATTTTATTTACTGTTTCAGCTTTTTATATTAGAGAGACAATACGATGTTTACACATGCAAGATTGATTTATTTCACTTACAAGTATGGTCTCAAGTTGCAGCCATTTACCTATAAAAGCCTCAAGTTCATGCTTTTTATAGCTGGGTAGTACTCCATTGTATAAAAAAACCACATCTTTTTTTTTTTTTTATCTGTTCCTTGGTTGATGGGGATTTGAGTTGTCGCCAAGAATTTGCTATTACAAATTGTGCTGCTATAAACATGGGTACACATACATCTTTATGATATAATATTTTTAATTCTCCTGAGAAAATATCTACAAGTGGAATTTCTGGATCAAAAGACACTTCCAATCTTAGTTTTTTGAGGAATCTCCACACTGATTTTCCACAGTGGTTATACCAGTCTATATTCCCACCTACAGTGGAGAAGGGTTCCTTTTTCCCCACAGCCCCACCAGCACTTGTTATTGGTTGATTTCTTGATGATAGCCGTTCTTTCTGGAGTGAGATGTAATCTTGGTGTTGCTCTCATTTGCATTTCTCAAATGACCAATGTTATTAAATATTTTTTCATGTGTTTGTTTGCTATTTGTATTTCTTCACCTGAGAAATGTGTTTTCATCTCAGATGCCCATTTTTGCAATGGGTCTGGTCTTTGAATTTGGGGGCCTGAACGTTTTCAATTCTTTGTATGTTATAGTTAGAAGTCCTTTGAGGATGGGGCTGGGGATTTAGCTTAGCGGCATAAGCACCTGCCTTGCAAGCAGGCAGTCGTGAGTTCGATCCCCGGTACCGAAAAAAAGGGAAAAGACAAAAAAAAAAAAAAAAAGTCCTTTGAGGAGAGTAATTGAATTTGTTTTCCCATTCTATGGGTTTTCTATTCACTTTGTTGGTGATTTCTTTTGATATGCAAAAGATTTTTAATAAGGTGACTTACTAGTTGTTGATTCTTTGAAGTACTTCTTGTTTAGTTTGGGTTTTGTTCATAAACTCTCTGCCTACCCTCTATGTCTTCAAGATTTCTATCTATCTTGTTTTCCAGTAGATTTAGTGTTTCTTTTTTAATATTTAGTTCTTTGATCCGTTTTAACTTTAGCTTAGTACTTGATGACAAACTTATGTTTCAGTGAGTTTGTTGTTTGTGTATAGGAATGCTGCTAATTTTTAAGTGTTGATTTTATATCCAGTTAGGCTTCTGTATTTGCTTACTAACTCTAATAGACTTCTTGTGAAGTTTATGGAGTCTTCTATGTAGAGTATCATGTCATCTGTAAATAATGATAATTTAACTTTTCCTCTTGTATTCTTATTCTTGTTATTTCTCTCTCTTGTCTAATTGCTCTGGCTAACATTTCCAGAACTATATTGAATAGGAGTGGTGATAATGATCATCCTTGTTTTTTTCCTGATTTTAGAGTAAAAGATGTCAATTTTTGTCCATTTAGTGTGATGTTAACTGTTAGCTTTTATCAGATGGTGGTAGAAAACCTCTATTCCAATGTTTTTTAGGGCTTTTATCATTGATGAGTGTTGGACTTCTGTCAAAAATTTTTCTGCATCTATTGAGATCATCATGTGATTTTTGTCATTGCTTCTATTGATATTATGTATTACAATTTATTGATCTGCATATGCTGAATCATCCTTGTATTCCTGGGATGAATCTCACTTGGTCATGGTGTATAATCTTCCTCCTCCTCCTCTTCCTCCTCCTCCTCCTCCTCCTCCTCCTCCTCCTCCTCCTCCTCCTCCTCCTCCTCCTCCTCCTCTTCTTCTTCTTCTTCTTCTTCTTCTTCTTCTTCTTCTTCTTCTTCTTCTATTTTTAATTTTTTTGTGACAGGGTCTCACTAGGCAATTCAGGCTGACCTTGAGCTCACACTGTAGCCCAGGGTGGCCTCAAACTCGCAACAACCCTCCTATCTCAGACTTCAGAGTGCTAGGGTTATAGGCATGTACCACCATGCCTGGTATGTATAATCTTCTTGATAACTTGCTGCAGTCTGCTTGCTAGTATTTCATGGAGGATTGTTTCCATCTGTGTTCACTAGGGAGATTGGTTTGTAGTTATTTTTTGGTTGTGTTGTCTCTAGTTTTGGAATCAGAGTAATACTTGCTTCCAGGAAGGAGTTAGGCAAAATGGCTTCCATTTCAATTTCATTAAAGAGTTTAAGGAGTATTGGTGTTAAATCTTCTCTATTTTTCTTGTAGAATTCAGTTATGAATCCATCAGGTCCTGAGCTTTCTTCTTTCTTTCTTTTATTTTAAAAGGAATAAAAGAGGAAAATAAAACAAATCAAAAACAGTGAGGACCCAATATTGGATTTCAAGTATAAGACAGTAGGGAATCTACTGTAGTTACTACATTACACATTGCTATCCTCTAAATGGTTGCTCAGACTATTTAGGCTTGAAAAGTCAATCAAACAATGCAAGCATTAGGTTGTTTCTTTACTTCAGTTGCTCTAATCTCAACCTGTGTTCCTCCAAATCAGTGGGTTGCTTCTGGAGTTGGGGGAGGGGGGTCTTCTTGTCTTCTGGCCCATGTGCCAGCTGGCTCATGGGGTGGGGTGACTTCCTTCCTGGTTCTCCTTGCTTCTGACATAGGATTTTCTTTGCTGGTAAATTTTTAATTATGTTTTCAACTTCATTAATTGATATTGGGTTAGTCAAAAGTTTTAAATTTTCTTGATTCAGCTTTGGTAATTCATACATTTCTAAGACTGTCCAATTCTTCTGTGCTTTCCTGTGTGAATAAAGATTGTCAAAGTAAATACTGAGGAGCTTCTGAATTTCCGCAGGATCTGTAATTATTTCACCCTTTTCATTCTTTACTGCATGAATTTGAGTTTTTTCTTTCCTTTTTTGATAAGATTGGCTAGGAGTTTATTAATTTGGTTTATTCTTTTAAAGAACCAACTCTTCAATTCATTAAATCTTTGCATTGTTTTCTTAGTTTTAATTGTGTTAAATTCTGTTCTGATTTTTATAATTCCTTTCCTTCTATGAACTTCTGGTTTGCACTGTTATTCTTTTTCTAGAAGTTTGAAGTGTATCATTAGGTTTTTTATTTGTGCTTGTTCTGTTTTCCTGATGTGAGAATTCACTGCTATAAATTTCCTTCTTAGGTCTGCTTTCATGGTGTCCCACAGGTTCCAGTATGTTGCAATTGCATTTTCATTTGATTGCAGATATTGTTCAACTTCTTCAATTTCATCTGTGACCCACTGGTTGTTTAAGAAGGTGTTATTTAATTTCCACATGTTTATGAGGTTTTTGTGATTTGTTTTGTCATGAATTTCCAATTTCACTACATGTTGGTCAGATAACATGCAAGGAATAATCTTAATTTCTTTGCATTCAACTAAACATGTTCTATGGCATATTACATGGTCTATTTTAGAGAACATCCCATGTGCAGTTGAGAGGAATATGTATTCAGTTTTGTTCAAGTGGTTTTGACAGCTTTCAATGGAATTTTAAATATCTTGGCTCTCTTTGAATCTTTTTCATGCTTTGTATTTCTTTCCTATATTGTTCATGCAAAGTTTTCATTTTCCTGTGCTCCTATGTTTTTATGTATGTATTCTTTAGATAAGCTGAGCACTTCCTCCATTAAGGTTGTCATTTTTTTGTACCTGAGAGTTTGCTTCTGATCTGATTTCCTCTAGAACCTCATGGATTTTTTTACTTGACTTGCTATCTTTGCAGAAATGTCAACTGTGTCTTCCAAAGTCTCCTAGGTAGATGTCACTTGTACTTGTGCTGGTTGCATCTTAGTGTCCTACTTTGTGGGTAATAGTCACCTAGTTTCCAGGTCCCATAGGTAGCGTAGGGACCAGTCACCTAATTCCTCCTGCAGGGTCGGTTGGATGAATCCTGAATTGTTCCTTGGCTGACTAACCTAGGAATATTGATGTGAACCAACCCTTTGCTCATATTGTTACTGTCCATGGTGTGTGCTCCAGTTGGGGTCCTACTCTATCACTTGGCAGTTCCTCCAGGTTGGGGAGAGGGCTTATCCACACTCTCACAGGCCTGGCAAGGTCCTGTGGGTCTCAAATATGATTTTTTATGACTAAAACTTTCAAAAATTCACCTTCACAATTTCTTTTCTTTTTTTGTACTGGGGATCAAACTCATGACTTTATGCTTGCCAGGAAGGTACTTATGCCTGTGAGCTAAATCTCTAGCCCTCACCTTCACAATTTCAAATGGTGTCATTTAAAACTACTTTGTAAGCCTGAAAAAGGAATTTTCTAGGCATTAGCCCTACCTCCCTTTTAAGGTTTAAATAGTGAAGCATTACTGAATAATAATTGTCACCTTTCTTTCCAGTCCTCAATTACCCTTAATTAACAATAGTGATAATAATAATTATAGCCTACATATAACTCCCAGCAACTACAAGCATTTCAGTTACATTAACTAATATCAATCCATCAACTCTGAAGGGAGGAGAAGATGTTATTTTAGTGAAGAGAATGGTCTGGTACCAAGACTTGACCAAACAAAAAACAGCTGAGGTGGACCAGGCAAGGATGTCTTTGCATGGCTGAGAAAACATTCCAGTCAGGTATTCATCAGACATTCATCAGGTTGTTCCTTCAGGGCAACCCAGCGTTTATTGTTCAAAAGGCCAATCTCTATTTAAAATTGTCTCCATTCCACATAACACTTACCAAGAAACTCTTGGGTGTAAATTTCTTTGCAAGACACTGTAATCACTGACCTGAATGAAACTTGAGATGTCAATTTTCTGTCCCTTAATTTGGAGGTAAATAAAATGAGTCAACTGCTGGTGCCTAGCGTCCTAGTCATGCTGCTGTCTATTGGCTACATCACAAACAACACGCGATAAGGTCACTTTTTAAATCGAGCCTCTGGTGGTACTGTGAGGTCCACTTCTCTTTGGTTTTCATTTGTGAGGGCTACATCTCAGCTAGTTATCCAGGATGGTGGAGCCCTTCTTGGGAACCTAGAAACTAATCTCCAGTGAAAACTTTGAGGATCACAAAAAAGACTAGATGAGGAAGTCCACTACAAGATTTGGACACTGGAGAAGCATTTTGTAATGTGGTGGGATTTGTACTTAATTAATTAATTTTCATAATTAATTTTGCTTTCTTTTTTGCGATCCTGGGATATATTCATATGAGACTAAGATAATATGTGATTCCATTTCTTACGATTAATACTTTTGCTTTTTCTCACTATGTGCAATAATTGTGTCTTTTTGAAATAATAGTTTTCCAAAGCCTCTCTAACTATAATTCATGTCTTTAAGCCCATTATTCTTGAAAATTCATCATGCTAATCTCTAGATAGAGTTCCTCTTTAGCTTGAGAATTTCACTGAATAGCTTTTTTTAGCTTCAAGTTTGAACATAATCTCTGAGCATAATTAAATTTAACTATTAAATTTGATTCATAACCTCTGAGCATAATTAAATTTAACTATTAAATTTAACTATTAAATTTGAGCATAATGAAATTTAACTATTAAATTTGCTTTAAATTATAACTTTAAAAAGCCACAGTAGTTAATTTTTAGAGTTCTCATTTATGTAAGAGATATTTTTAAACATTATTTCGAAGAACTTAATCTTTATGAGAAAAACAGAATATGTTTACTCCTTGAATATCTTACTGTTGAATGTTTTTTAGGAATAGAAACATTATCCTTTAACTTTAACTCAAGTTAACTGATCAAACTTCAGTTGTAATGAATTGATTCTGTAAAAGTGACAATTACTTTTACCACTGCTAGAAGAATAGCAATTACATAACATTTTTCACATTAAATTAAGCCATACAATTCTCACTTTTTAAACCAGCCTGGAATGATCGATGGAGGCTTAAAGCTACTAGTATATTAACTAACTCTAGCCAATGAAACAATGAAACAATGTCTGATTTCCTATGATAAGAAGTCAATGTACATATAAATGTAATATTTAGCCCTCTTTTGCATCATGATTAATTAATTTTCTCAGAGAATAATACAAGTTTTCCTTATCTCTTTAATGATTTATAAAATCATTTGTTTTAAATTAAAAATTGAAAGTGTGTAAACAACTAAGGGCCTATAGCTAGAATAACAGCTGTTTCCACTGAAGATATATTAGGCAAGGCACAAAAAAATACCAACTAAGAACCTACCTTGTGTTAGCACCATGGTAAATCCTTTCATCTAATCTTCCAGCACACCTGAGTACTAGTTATTCACATTTTATTTTTGGTAGGACTGGGGGCCAAACTCAGCGCCTCTGCACTGAGCTATATCTTATCTTGAGAGAGAGAGTCTCACTAAGTTGCTAAATTGCCATGAGTGGGCTCAAAGTTTCAATCCTCCAGCTTCACAGAGCGCTGGGATTTTACACATGTGTGCTACTATGCCTGATTAGTTATCCACATTTTACTGTTCAGACAACTGAAGGACAGAGAAGGTGTATAACGTGTCCAGCTAGCAGAGGGCAAAGTTGGAGCCAGATTTTCAGAATTTCATCTTTTCCGATTCACACGGCCAACACTGCTTCTCTGCACTGCTTTGCTTCTCTGTTTCTCTGTTCAGTGATTTGAGTGAGACCTAGACTGTTAGGGGTCAAGTTTGAAAAATCCCAAACCTGAACAACAGAGGCAGGTTTTAAACCAAATATTGCCTGTTTCTGTAACATTCCACGAGGGAAAGTGCAAGCACTTTATTACTTGGAAGACATCATGCAAATGTGCATTTTATACAAGGCACAATTTTCTCAGAAAGTAAATTTGGCATTTCAAAATGTCAGACGAGACTATTACTATACGTTGTGATTGGTAGTTCACAGAGAAATTACTGTATATTATCCAAATCTTTCACAAATTTCTGTTATTTGCAAACTGCTTTCCAAAAGGCTGGCTAGCTTATCTGAATAAAGTGAGTGTTGTTTTCTCTTACAGGAACAAATTCTGCACCTAGGGAGTCAACAGGATCCGTAGAGGAAAAGGTCGTTACAAGTGCAGAGGGGGACACAATAACCATCCGAACAGAAAGTATCAAGACCACAGCTATCTCCTTCAATCTGGGAGAAAAATTTGATGAAACCACTGCAGACAACCAGAAAGTTAAGGTCAGAACTAAATATTACTGGTGTTCAATAATCAAGAAAAACGAGAAGGTAATTAGGCTTGTTATTCTCAGTGTAATTTGTTACACTTGTTACCAAGTCATTTTGGATTTTTTAAAAAACATCTGTACATCTCTAAACTCAATTCTTTTGCTCAGTCATTTCTGATGATTTAACATGGCTACAAAATTCAAATTGTTTTTAGCTTTTTTTCCTCTGACCTTGTTTGTCACTGTATAGATTCACATAGAAAGGAACAATTAAGTACTGTTAGATTTGGAATTGTTTTCCTAAGAGAAGACATTAATTGGCTATCTCTTGAGACTTCTAGTTTAATGGTCTCAAGTTATGGCCCAAACCAAAGTGAGAATTTCAAAGAACAAGATATTGAAATATAAATTAAATGGTAGAAGTCTAGTTCTGTGTAAGTTACAATGCACTGTATTGCTAATTCTAACTTATTTCTTTGTGCATTTGTAGAGTATGGTAACATTAGATGGTGGCTCAATGAAATATATCCAGAAATGGCTGGACAAAGAAAAAACAATTGAAAAAAAGTTTATAATTGGAAAAATTGTAGAGGTGAGTTTTCTCATCTTCTTATGTGCTTCTATTTGATTTACACCTGTCAAGCTACCCAAATGTTTTTGTATCCCGAGTTGAGGATTTGGTCTGGGGAAAGAGTATTGCAGAAAAACCAGTATCAAACTGAATGGACAACTCTTTACACCAAGGAATACAGAAGGAAATTTTATTGATCTTATTTTAATGCAGCGGGTTGGGGGACCATAACAGAGTCCAGATCATCAGCCATGAGTCATCTTAGAGGTCAGCTTTTTTTTTTTTTTGTACTGGGGATCAAACTCATGACCTCATGCTTATCAGGCAGGTGCTTATGTCGCTGAGCTAGCATTGAGTTTAAATACAGTTTGCAACAGGACATACAAGGTAGATGGCAGATTATTACATGATTAGTGACAAGAATTGAGTTGTCACATATTTTCACAGGCAAGCTGATTCTAAATAGATTTACTTAAAAAGAATTGTTTACCATAATGTAGGAACATCCTGGGGACAAGGAGGGAGGTTTGAGCAGTACAAGCAAAGTTTAGGGTGCCTTTGATTGGGCCATTTTGTCCGTAAAATGACCTTGAAGTAAGCTGGAAACAGTACATACTCTTTTAACAAAGGAAAATATAAGCTGGACATAGTCAAATCGACCCAATGCATTAGAAAAAGAAAAGCAGCTAGACCCAGACAGTCAAGGCTGATGGAATTTAGCAGGGTGCTTACGTGACAAGCAGCAGGAGCATAGGCAGAGGCCACTATTTCATTTTTACCTTGCTGTGTCTATAAGTTTACTACTCTATAGCTGTGCATTTACTATTTTTTGTAACTGTCCTCTTACAAGAGAAGCAGGACGAGCTCTGCTGCACCACTGATTATAATAGCTCCCTCTTTTGCTTTCAGGAATATGTCACAAATACTAGCTTCTTGATTAAGACTTATGAAGAGCTGTGAAAAAAGAGTCAGCTTCAGTGAACATTTGTCAGTAACAGGAAAACGGTGCTTGAGGAAAATATGCCTAAGAGCCAGTGATTTTTAAATAGTTCTCAGTATAAATTTATTCAATAAGAGAATCAAACTAAATGCAGCTTTGAAGTTATTTAATAATGAGGTTCAGGACAATTTGATGAAAATTCATATAATCACAAAGGAAGCCTACCTTGGGCAGCGCAAATACTGAGAACCAGCATTGTGGGTTTTTTGGTTTTATAGAAGTCTGTCTAACTTAAGGAAGAAAGATAATTAGGTGATAATGATAGATGAATAGATAGATGGGGCAGAAATAGACGATGTGGTACTGAGTTGTGAAAGAAGAGTATTTGCAGCAATCATTATTTCCCTTCTTTACGAATCCATTTAAAATTATCAGCCTAGTGAATCTATCACCGTTGATTACGAGTTAACCCTCGCAGAATGGCATGTTACTAAACACCAGTCGCAAATGTCTAAATGTCAGGTGAGAATATGATTTTTAGAACTACACAAACTCTTTAAAGTATCTCACCAAGTAGTTAAGTTTGAGTGATCTTGGTGCCAAGAATAAAATAGAGGATAGAGGTATAATTAAAGCACAAAGCCCCCCTGCCCAGTAGAGACCATCTATACCAGTGCGGTGGGGAAAAAAGAAGAGAAATTTAAGTAAATAATTATGTTGTCCCTTAAATTTTAAAAATGGAGGGTAGTTGGCTAAATAAGATTCCTAAGAGTCATGTTTAATATGCATTCAATAGAGCAGATGATCCTTATAATTTGCCATCCAAATTGGGTGAGTATTTAAAAGTGAAAAGAGATCCTACTAAGAATGACCTCTATCTACACAGCAGGCAAAGGGCAGACTGTCCTAGGCAGACTGGCTCTGGTCTCCTTGGGAGGGGTAATATTGAAGAATAATGGATAGAAAGACTAAAGCAAGAGACTGGGGCATGAGCTGAATCCCAGGCCAAGAGAAGAAACTGGGACTCTTACTAGACCTGAAGAGCTCTGAGCATTCAGCTGTGCTGGAATGATGGGCTTGGTTCTGGCCATGTGGCCACCTGCTACGAGTGAGCACAGTCATCCCCACATGGCTTGTCCCTCTCCCTCCTAAAGAACTCCAGTGTGCACAAAATGTGACCACATTTGATCTCCAGAGTTCAAAGAGGTTTTGGCCCTGGTGGTGTCCTGAGCAAAGGCACCCTGGGCAGTCTCCACAGAGAGCTGGAGGTGACAGCTGCTTTAATGACTCCTCAAGCAGGGGTCAGAGTATTTGCCACAACCCTGGGGAAGGAGAAATTACTTTATAACATGCTGGATGCTTACTTGTGTAAGTATTTGGCTTTACTGAGATATAATTAAGAAAAAAATAACAATTTTCTTGTAAGTATCACAGCTCAAGGTACAAGAAGCCTGCATGAAATAGCTTAATAATGAGAGTTTCACAATACTGCTTTTTAGGAAACCACTCAGTCATTCAACAAGCTATTTCTCCATGGCTACCATATGTCTGGCAGTATCCTGGGCTGGGGAGCAGTAATCCAGCAGGCAAAGCGTTCACAGCGCCTTTGAAGGTTTCATGAAGCAAAGGAATTTTGAGACTTTAATCCTTTAGTGTTATTCTCAGGTAAATCATATCAACATTTCTGTAATTTAAAAAATTGTAATTAGATTCATTAATTATTAGTAAGAATTTTCACATCATCAATCTTTTAATATTTATAACACCTTAAAAGTCATCTATCGAAGGGAATGAAATATGGCTGTCAAATTGTGTGGACGATAACAGTAGATCTTCTTATTAGATAAACTGATTAATCAAAAGCCATTGATAATTTGTTTTCCAAGAGGGTTTGAAATAGAAGAAGTGACAGTCACTTTAATAATCCACAAATAAAAATACATTGCATTTTGAATTTTTAGCCCAAATGACAGTAATAAATTATTGTACTGCAGATCTACATGGAAGTTTGTAAAAGAAATATTGACTATCCAAAAATCAATCATAATAATGCCAACATTATTATCCAAAGATAATTTACCAGATTTCCTCTTTTACTACTCAGTATTATTCAGGAAGTCATTGACAAAAATAATGCCCTTGACCATTCTTAGTAATATTTAATATCCATACTTTTTGCACCAAAAATACCATAAACATAAAAAGACATAATTTCTTGATGGCTCCCAAAAGCTACTGTGTATATCAAACATATACTAATAAGAATTAAGACCCTAAAAGTGACTACTCCAAAGACAGTAACCAAAAACAGATGAAGTTTTAGGAGGGATTATCAAGATGTGACCTTAGCCCCCATATTACATGTTCTCATAATTTTTATTTTGAGCTTTTAGGGAGAAAGTATAGCATATCCTTTTGGAAATATCCAGGCCCTGGGTCCTTTATGCAGAAAGGTAGACAAAGTCCATCAACCCCCCCCTCCCCGCCCCAGTCCCTCTGATAGGACAGAGGCTTATAGTGGAAGGAGCTGGGGTTTGTGGCCCCATCAGAACTGAGCTTGCATCAAATTTGTGTCAATGATGACTGTATGACAGTCTGCAGATGCTGCTTAACTACTTAATTTTTCTCCTTTGCAAAATGAAGACTTATCTACTTCTCAGGATGAGGTGAGGGTGAGGACACCTTGTGAAAGAGACCGGCTCAGGAAATACCTCAGGTAGCTTCTGTTTCCCCAGAACTCTTCTCTGACCATAAGGTCACTAGGATGGGAAGAGGAGAAATAGTGTAACTGGTGAGTGGGTCACCAAAATGGTGATCAGAGACTCAGAGCAGGCGGAACTTGAAGCAGAGGCCATGAGCAACTTATTAGAAGCAGGCTTTGTGGGAAATGAGCAGGGAAATGGATTCTAATTTACTTTGTAAGGCATAGTTCAGATTTCAGTAGATGCTTGTTAAATTTTTTTTTAAAAATTACAATAATAAAATTAGTTCACAAAAGTAATCTTTCCTGATCTTCAAATCAATCAGTATTTCACACATGATAAAACTGAACCCAAATGCCGTCTGTCTAGTGGGCTGCAAGGCTGGGTGTGCACTACTCCAACTTCATAACGCATTCCCTTTTTACACTGAGAAATCATGCCAGGACTCTGAGTATCACTATCTGGTGTCGTTGTGCCAGAGATGATTCAGTGCCCTCTGGAAACTCAGAGTGGCTCTTCCATAGTATCACGCTGCTGCTGAGAAGGGTCTCCAAGCCAGGCACTGCATTGCTTGGCACTGTACTGGGAGTTGTGAGAACTTTGCAGTGGCATTGGTAGAAGTGATACATGCCATGTCTGGCAGGATAGTTAAGGGGCGATTTGTGCCCTCCTGTGAACCTCATGGGCATGCTGGAGGCCCCAGGTGAATGGGTCTAAACCTTCTGAGTGACCTCATGGAGAAAGCTCCCTTTCACCAAAGAATTCCTACACTGGACTGCACATCCAACAAGAATTAAACTTCTCAGTTAAGCCACTGAAATACTGGTAATTATTTCAGCAGCTAGTGCTGTTCTGGATCTGGATAAAATGTGAGATTTCATTTTTACAGTGCATCACCAGTCACAAGCATGTTATAGGCTGGAATGAAACCACAAATCTAGCTTTCAGTTGTTTAACAAAATAATTGGATCCCTGAAGAAAAGAAAACACATTTTAAATATGAATTTAGTTAACTCTCTTATCTATTTAATCTGAAATCTCTTTTCTGTTTAAAAAGGTCACATGTTAACTACACTTTCTCTTACAGCCTTGACAATATCTTGGTTTGCAAACAGTGGAAGAAATAAAATGGGAAACAGCAGATTTTCTTAGTTTGGCTAGCAAATGATTTTAAAACATCCCTCTAATTTCTCCAAGTTTTCATTTGTTCCTTCAATTTCATGTGGAATCTAAGACAGTCTGACTAGCCTACAAAAGCAGATGTTAGACTGATGCTACAAGGTGAGGAAGAGAGAAACAGAGCCAAGTTGTTAAAAAAAAACAAAGCTTCAGTTGTGCAGGATGAGTTGTGCGGGACAGCAGATATACAGCATGGTGACTATAGCTAACAACACTGTATTCTACATTTGTAATTTGCTAATAGAATAAATTTTGCGTGCTCTCATTTCCAACAAAATATTGTAAGTGGATTAGGTCATGGATATATTAATTACCTTCACTTTGATAACTGTCTCACATTGATGTATATATCAACTACACTTTAACTATTTTGTTAGTCAATTGTACCTTAACAAAGCTATAAAGAACAGAAATTCATTTAAAAGTTTTAGAAATCATGCTAGACACTCACATGTGCACGCATTGTTCACTATGGTTTAAAATGCTTTTGTTTGCTTGTTTCTTATACTACAGAGGATTAAACCCAGAGCCCTCACATGCTAGGCAAGCACTCTATCACTAAGCTATATCCCGTACCCTTTTGTGTTTTATTTTGAAAGAGAATCTTTCTGAATTTTTCAGGCTGATGTGCAATTTATAAATCTTCCACCTCAGTGTCCTACAGAGCTGGGATTACAGGTGTGCGTGGCCAGCACAAGTCAGTTATTTTAAGGAATTCTGTTCGTCCATTAGCAATACGGAAACCAAGGGACAAATCCTCAAAGTATTTTAAGCTTTTTATGCCAGTTCTTGAAATGGATGTATTGGGGAAATGTTAATATCACTTTCTCTCCAGGAGCAAAGCAAAGGGAGTGGGAAAACTGTAGGAGCTCAGTTATGCTCTATAATGACCAGAGAAAGAAATTGAAATGCAGAAATCCTATCTTTTATTCTCTCCCCAGTGAGTAACTTCATATCTCCAGTGTTCTATTAAGAATAGTAATGTGAAATCTTAGACTAATCTTTGGAAAAGAAACTATGCATGTTAGGCGCCAGCCCCCCCCCCAAAAAAAAAAAAACTAAACTGATTTTTTGACAAGTCACAAACTATTTCTTTCATCTCTTTATTGCCTTCAACAAAAGAAAGCTATTAACTAACTTGGGAGTACCATAGAGGCAATCATCACCATAGTAACCAAAAGACTCTCTACTGGTAGCTGAGGAATTTACAAGCTTGCATTAAGAAAGTAATTTTAATGTTAACATTATTAAAATTGAACAAAAAACACTTATTTGAAGCTTGAAAGAAGGCAACACAGATAACAGGCCTAAAGTATCTGGGAAGGGAACCAGACACCCTAGATACTGATTTCTGATCATAAATCAGATCATTTTCTCATGATAATTTCTAAATTATTACATAAAACATCATCCTATGCAATCATGATCTACTGACTCTTTAGTGGAATTCTTATTGTCTCCATCTGCTAATAATCCAAAATGATAAGTGGATATCATATGCCTCTGAATGTTGTTTTGAACTATGCCTTCCTAGCTGCCGTATAAAACTAATGAAAGTGGAAAATTTTGTTCAATGGTGTTTAATCAGCATCTTGAAAGTTCTGGGCACATAGGAAGCTCTCAGTAAATATCTTTGCAATTGAATAAATGAAAAAACTTGGCATCCAAATGGAAGATCATGAATACTTCATTCATTTACTACACAGTGATTGCTACCTCTTCCAAAACTATGATTGGATATAGTTGGAAAACATAAATAAGGGACATTACCATTAAATTTTATATATAGCATGCTTTTCTTATCCATCTTCTTTGGACCATTGTATATTCTTTTTTTAAAATTTTATTTAAAGGAGAAAAGAAAAAAAAACAAAACAGTATAAGGGTACAAGTAACACAGAATTTAAAAAACAGTAAGAAATCACTAGTTAATAGATTACATATTGTCATCTTAGAAATAGTTGTTCAAGTTACAAGATTAAAGCATACAAAGTGGACATTCAAACAGTGAGACTGCAAACAGTTGTGTTCAGTGATCCAACAACAACTTAGTAATATGGTCATCTATCTTAACACATCTAAACACATTTGCAGTTGTATCCTTTAGAGCACTTTTTTACAACAACATTTTCACATTTTGGGTTTTATTACTCCCATAGTTCTTATTACTTTTTTTTTGGAAGAGAATAAAACCAAATATGACAAAACAAAGCAGTCAGTCAAAACATAGGATGGACATGATGTAAAAACAGAATACAAGGTAATCAACAATGGTTACCATAATGCCTCTTGCTACCTTAAAAAGAATTGCCTTTATCATCAGGTATAATAAAATTAAACAAAACAGTACAGAACAAGACCAATAAAACCTAAACATTGGAGACATTACAGGACTTCAAAAGAAGATAATAGTCAAACCAGAATGGGCATCATAGTGAATCTTATTGATATTCTTTACAATGTATGATGCCAGTAACTCCTATGAATCTTGAGAATTTACATGGGCAATGAATTGCTCAAAGGAGAAGGACTGACTCCATTCTATAGAAAATTTGTATCTATTTAATTAACATTTAGTTGGAATCCAGTTAGTTTCATCTAGTTGTAAGGTATTTCTTGTATTTACTACATGTCCTTTTTTGCTAGGATGTTTATGAATTTCTTAGCAAGCTGTTATGCTTTGTAAGTAAATGAGCCCCAACAGCCTCAAGGGCTCAAAGGTGGAGCTTTTGAAAGGTGACTGGATTACAAGGACCTTATAGCTAACTCTATTATGAGATATGGTCAGGTCATAAGAGGCATATCACTAGGGGTGTGGCATGGAAGGGTTTATCTCTCACCCAAGCTCCTCACTTGATCTCCCTTTGCTTCCTGTTCACCATGAGATGAGCAGCTATTCCTCCACCAATGTCCCTGTGCCAAGCTGTCTTGCCTTGCATCCAGGTGACTATGGACTCAAACATAAGCCATATCAACCTTTCCTGGTTTTCAGGTGCTTTGTCCCAGAGATGAGAAAATTTACTAAGACACGAGGAGTATCCTAATATTTGGAACCTAGTTCAGTCTGTATCTCCTTTTATTGCTTTGACCTGTGCCTTTGGCCTATACATTGGCCTCAGACTTTCATGTTGATCCAAAGTCATCTGATCAGTTTCAGTAGTCAGTTACATCTGCCAATTAACCTAAAATAGAAAATTCTTCTCTTGGTCTAAAATTGCTTCAATATAATAAGCTTTCTTCCTTGGCAATATATGCATATTTCAGTGTTCATGTTTATACTCCCTTAGAACAACACATATGTTGTGGATTTACAGTTGCTTTCCCTGATCAAAGAGTCGGACTCTGAAGCCACATATCTGCCAGGATCTTGGATTGTCACCTCTTTTGATGTGTGAGCAGATGAGTACTGCTAGGCAAATATGGTGATGTCAGTGTTGCCTGATCTTTGGCTAGCATTTGTGTTTGTGTGTGATGTGAGCTATCATTCACACAAGTTGTAGATACTAGAAAACGAAGCTTGGCCCAAACCCTGCCTCTCCTTACTCAAATTTTGGAAGCAAGTTACCTAACCTCTGTGAGTTTGTTTTCCTCATTCCTCAAATGGGTGTAACAATAGAACTTAACACTTGGAGTACTGATAGAAGTAAATGATAGAATGGTAGTGTTAAGCACTTAGCATAGTAACTGGCCTATGGTGAGTATTATTTTTATGGAAAATCCTTTCTCCATATAAGATTATGAATTTATTTTAAAGGACTTAAATTGTCACAGTAACTAAGAACCTGCTTAGTTTGCACTTAAGATTTTTATAGATGAAAATCTTACTGTGGACAAAGGACGTATCACAGTACTGCTTCTTGTCCTATCACATGAATAGAGTTCCTGTACTCCGCTGTGATAGACTGATCGTATTGTCTGCCTACTTTGCCTGCCTGGGCTATGTGAACTATGCCAACCCTCCCTAACCTCTGACTATGTCCTCTCACTGCTGCCCTGTGATTGTCTCCCACAACATAGTTGAAACGCTTATTACAGAACTTGTGAATATTTTCTTGTCTTTTCTCCCTTTCAGTAAGAATTCTTAGCTGTGTAACCTCAGAATCCAGAGTGGCCAAGATGCTTAAATGCAACACACACACTCATTCACAATCACATAATCCGTAGAGTCTTTTCCAAGGCATTAAAGACCTAAATATTCTTATAAATTTAAGATCAACCAAACTTTTTTGAAGGTTTAAATGAATAGTACCCTCATTCATTTTAAGACATTTTTTAGAAACAAAAGAAAACATTATGTGGGATTTCCTTTTATCCTGATGAATGGGCAGCTGATGACTGAAGAGCCATTCACTGCCCAGTCCTGACACTGCCTTCCCCATTGGGTCTCTGGGAAAGTCACATGCTTTGTGGACCTTGAAAAGAATCTTCGGAGGCCTCAGTCTCTCTCTGAGTCTCCTAAATCCTGCCTAGAACCGTGTTCAACTATCTCCTCCCACAATGAGCAACAAATTCTTGGGTACCTGGAAACTCATCTCCAGTGAGCATTTTGATGATTACATGAAAGCTCTGGGTAAGAAATGCTATTTATATTGGCTCTGAAGACCTTTTCAAAAGAATTCCTTTCTGATATCATTTATCACAGTCTGGGGAAGTTTCTGCAGGTTGAAGTTCAATCCTCTTCTAAAATTAATCTCTTTGGTCTTTCAAATAATTATTTGCATTTTATTTGTGGCAATTGTAATAGAATTTAAATGAAACTACTGAAATGCATGGAACTCACACTGATTCCAAAGTGTGGATACCAGTGGATCTTCACTGGAAGCCTGGAAAAAGAAATCTAAAAGCCTAGTTAACTCTCTTTCTGGCTTTCCTGAAAGCTGATTTTTATAATAACTAAGGCACTCACAAAATAAAAAATTGAATACTGGAAAATATCATTTTAAAATTTTGATGTTAGGCAAACTGCACTTTTCTCTTTCTCTACTTTAGATGGTTATTGCATAATTATGTAGATATACAGAGTTGGGAAATGACAATGTCTCCTACCTAGGATGTTTGAACAAGGGTTTGCGACAGTGAATTCAAAGTTAGTTTCACTAATGTCAGGATTTCCTCGTATTGGGACAGTGAATGGAGACAGAAGCCTCATTCTTGTTACCATTTTTTACTGTTTCTAAAGAGAATGTTCCATAGATACGAACACAATAGATAGAAGAATCTTTGGAGATATCCAGAGCTGTACAAAATAATACTGATGTCAATGGCTGTAGGGTGCCGTGCTCCTTGCAGTGCCTCTGGCGTCACTTGCCTGTTCAGAACGTTTCTATTCTTAGATGAAATGAACAAAATCATATCATGGCTGCCTGAAAACGCATGAGGACTTATGAGTAATAGAGCCAGGCCATGATGCAGGATAGATTTATGGCTTCTACTGTGTAGCTGAGGAAAAGGCAAAACGCTAGGAAGCCTTGCTGAGGGTGTAAGTTACAAAGCATGCAAAGCTCCCGAGGGATTATTTAACGTAGATTTTCAGGCGTTAAGCCAGAGATTATTATTTAGTTTGAAAAACTCTGTCCTAAACCATAGAAAGTAACAAAACAATTGATCAGAATCAGGAAAAACTGAATAGCTCACTGTAACTCTTCACTTCTTTTTGAGCAGAGAAACAAGACATACCAAGCCTTTTTCCACTATGGAAAAATAAATCTAAGAATTGGGATTTCCAACTGGCCTCTCCAGAAGCTGATGTGTATTTCACATATTTCTTATATGGCATTTCATTTTTCCCATGTATTTTTATACTTTTGGAAAAATAATAATTAAACAAATCTAATTTTGTTTGGTTTTTCAAACATAGGTGAATTTCAAAAAACTTTTTATTTATCAATCATCATTTGTAGTGGTAAAGGTGTAAAAGATAGATGGATAGTGTTTTCCTACCAGTTAAGATTAGGAGTTGTGAATTGGAGAAGTGACATCCTATCAAGGGAAATTCTTCATATTTACAATGTGTTATTGAAGGAGAACATAGCAGGCAGCAGTGTGCCATAGTCTCATTGAAACATATCTATAACATTTGTAGGTACAGTCTCAAGTATCGTTAATGTTTCATACAAGTAGATAACAACTGATTCCAGAGGAGAGTAGGAATGAATACGGAAAAATAGTTTTACTCTTATAACTGCACACTTTTATTTTCTAGTCTGCAGACACTGCTTTTGTATTAAAGACCCAGACATTTATTGTCCTTGTGTAGGGAATGTGGGTAGTGGCCCCTAGTAATCTGTAGCATGACCCACCTTCTGATCACTTACGCTACCACTGAACTCTTGATTTACAGGTGTGGGGTTAGCCACCAGAAAACTGGGCAATTTAGCCAAGCCTACGGTCATTATCAGCAAGAAAGGGGACTACATAACTATAAGAACTGAAAGTACCTTTAAAAATACAGAGATCTCTTTCAAACTGGGCCAGGAATTTGAAGAAACCACAGCTGACAATAGGAAAACTAAGGTAATCTTTAAAGTTTCTCTTTAAAGTTGGTCCAGTCAGTCGCTTGAGAGGCTATTGCTAGTATTAAAGAGTGGAAAGCAAATGTGATGCACGAGAAGTCTGTTACAAAAATGGCTCAGGACTGAATAAAATTCTTTCTTCTTTGACTAATCAGAGTCCAGGTAGGTCAAGTATACAAATTTGTCTTTCCAGAGTGTGGTAACCCTGGAGAGAGGCTCCCTGAATCAAGTGCAGAAATGGGACGGCAAAGAGACATCAATAAAGAGAAAGTTGGTGGATGGAAAAATGGTTGTGGTAAGAGTGTTTCCCAGTCTCACTTCAGAAATAGTGCTACATAAAGAGATTGACTTTATGATTTGAAAAATGCTCTTTGAAATACAAATGAATAGATTGCTGAGAATAAAGTCAGAATTAATGCTTGAGTGACATTTAAACCATGAAAGATTCAAGTACTTAGAGTACAAGCAAGATTGTAAAATAGGAAAGCAACTACTACTTTACAAATATCAGTACCAAAAAGGTAAAAGTAAAGTTAAAGAAAGCATGGTTAGATCTCACTAGCTTGAATTCACAATAAAATCAAGCCTAAATTTTCAAATACACCTTGCAAGGCTCAACTATAGGCAATTTGGAGACACCTAAATATTTTGCTTTAAAGAATCTATAGTAAAGTAGGCTAAACCATGTCAATAGTACAAGCTGAGCTCCTGGGAGAGCTCTCTTCTCTCTTAGAGATCTCTTCGAGATCTTAGAAAGCTTAGAGATCTCTTCTTAGAGAAGAATAATGACAGAAATTACATGAGATGACTTCTAACAATTTGTTAAGGTAAAGGCTCTGTGCTTATCAGTTAGTGTATACACTGAACATAAAGGGACTCCTGGAATGTTTTGAAAGTTTTTTTTCTTTAGTGCAGTGGTTTTAGTCTCTCTGTTCTAGAATTGCATGGGAAATAAATTCCTGTATGGAGGCCCCAGTATGGATCAGCATGTTGAAATGTTCCCCAAGTAGCGCCAATGTGCGATTAGTTTTGAAAAACACTCTGTAGATCTAAATGTATGCAAATTATGAATCAAATTTAAATGACTTTTACACTCATCTCCGGGAACTGGTAGACATACATGACACAGCTTGTCATTTTTAGTCCTTCTCACCCGGCTCCCTTCTTCTCCCCCCACTTCATCAGTTTCTCTTCTGTCTCCACAGTCTATCTCCTTGTTTTGTATCACTTCCTTTATTTTGCTCTTTACATTATTTATATTTTTGGTCTCCTACATTACAGACACCATGTGATATTTAATCTTCTGTTTCTGGTTTATTTTACTTAGCATTACGGTCTCAGGATCCACCCATTTTCCTACAGATGCCTCAGATTTAACTATCTTGATGGCTCAGTAATGCTCCATTTTGCATGCTGATTTTCTTTATTCATTCATTTGTTGATGTGTATATAGGCTTCTTCCATAATTTAGATATTGTAAATTGTGCTGCTAGAAACAATAGTATGCATGTAATATGATAGGTTTAACCCTTAAGATGTCTAAAAGAGGTATAGCTGGGTGGAATGAAATTGCTATGTTTAGTTTTTGAAGTCATCTCTATACTGACTTCTACAGTAATTATACTAGTTTATGTTCCTACCAACAATGTAGAAAGCTTCTATTCCCCCCCCCACAGCCTCACCGACATATGTTGTTTTTGAACCCTTAGTGATGGCCATTCTGGAGTAGTGAAATGTCACTGTTGTTTCTATTTGTACTTCTCCAATAGCCAAAGGTCACTCCCTCGTCATACCAAACACTGTTTCATGTACATACTAGTTATTTTTACATCACCTTTTGAGAATTTAACAGGTTTTTTAAAATTCCTACACAAAACACAGATCAGTTTTTAAAGTCCTTTTCTCCAATTTTGGTGGTCCTAATTCTGAATTACTTGGAGATTAGAATTCTGATATTTTATTCCTAAGATTGATTTTATGAGTTTGGAATTTCTATTTTTATTATAAATTTGCTTTATCTGATTTATTTTACTCAATTAACCTCTCTCCCTCTTTTAAGGAATGTGTGATGAAGGGTGTGACCTGCACCAGAATCTATGAGAAGGTTTGAGAAAATCATTTCCTCACTGCAGTATTATGTGATCATTTAATATTGAAAATCAGTTTCTTCCGTTGTCAAGATCTGACTAGATCTAAATTTGCTTGTTTGTTTTGGATTTCATCTTCATCTATCAGATTGGCAAAGGCTTAAACTAAGGATTAGTCTAAAGTTTACTGCTATTTAAACATTTTCAATTTGCATTGTGTGTTCTCTGTACTAAAACATATGCATTGGCCACACCTAAACAGTTGATAATGTTATTAATTATTCATGAAATTCAGACCTGCACTGTACTCTGATTATTTAAAATTATAATTAAAAAATAATAGGACTGAAAGGAAGTAAACATATTGATCAGGGGTAGCACACTCAAACAGCTTGAGGGACCAGGAGACTTACTAAGTAGGAGACTTAGAATGAAGCAACTCAGAAGAAGGAGATGTTTTAAATCAAAGATTTCAGTCTCAGCTGAAATAAGCAGGCTCTATTCCAGCCAGTTATTTCTTAAGTTGAAGGGTAATCCATAGACAGTAAAATGCAAAGATAATAAGAGCAGAGTTGAATGCATCACCAAAGAACTCAGGATTGAGACACCAACATTTCCGCCATCCCAGAAAGCTTCTGCATGTTTTGTCCCAGTCAATGTCCTGACCTGTCATAAGCACAAAAAACAAGTGATCAGTAGTGATTCAGTCCTATCACCATGGGTCAGATTTGCCAGTTCATATTTATAGGATCACACATTAATATATTCATTTCTGTTTGCCTTTTTAAACTCAGCATAACATTTTTCAAATTCATTCATATTGTTGCATGAAATCACAGTTTGTTCCTTTTTATTGCCAAATCATGTTTCACTGTATGAATATATCAGTTATCTATCAATCTTTCTGTTAAACCATTCTGCTGTTACCAATGTTTGACCACTGTGAATAAAGCTGCTACATTCTTAAACAGGACTTTTTGTGGACATCGTCCTTTCTTTTCAGTCACAATTACTGGTGCTGACAATTTTTGATAGGCAAGAATGGAGGACCACTGTGCCAGGTGAAAACAGAACATTGTAACCCGACAGAGTAAATTAGAAAATGTGTTGATACTGATGAAACTATAATGTTCATTGTAGAAGAAAGTGATATAAACATGGAATGGAAGAAGACAAGAACTATATGGGAATAGAATGGAATCAATGTAAAAGTCACGTTCTATAAACTATGAGTAAATATGTATAACTGTACATGCATATCTGTGTTTGACACATACACATACTTATGGATATGTGTATATGTATACACATGTGTGTATTTCCTAGCTCTGATCACCAAAAAAGTATAGAAGCAAAGACTCCACAGCAGGAAAGAGCACCTCTGGCATTCAGATTTTGGTGTCTAATATCATTCTCCACTAAAAGGAAGCAAAGTTCCTTGGAGGAATGGCTGATTGATTCCAAAGCAAGAGCAGAGGATGGGATGAGTCTGAAATACCTCAGGATACCAGAAAACACAGAAATGTTCAAAGGCGTGTTACCCCAACATGGAGAACTTCTCATTGGCCAAACTTGGGACAATTTGAGTAAAAAATAATTGAGAAAAGTATACATTAGAAAAAACATGAGGACTCACAAGTCTATACCAATTAATTGTCAGACAAATAAGTGATAGATGACAGATAGGAGATGTGCTCTTTACAGTAGAATGCCACGCACCAACTGGTACATGTGGACTGAGATCTTTCTGACAGGAATCAGAAAACCATCATTTTCAACCATCACAGCAAATATATTGGCTCAGGCAAAAATAATCAAAGAATGCTAAACTTTAATGAGCACATAAGATATTTGATCTTAAACTATTTCCTCACTGATTGCTTATAATTTCATGGGGGAAAAGATAGTTTCTACAGAATGGAAAAACTGAGCAACGCCTTGTCTGGAATATCAAATTTAATCTCACTAATAAGAGTTGGATGAACACCATGTATTTCCAAAGTGATACCTAAAGAAGGAAGCAATGTTATTTAAGTAGTATTCTGACCTGAAGTCTTACCTGACTCTAATTATAAAGAAATATTAGACAAATTCCAAATGAGGAATGTTCTGTTAAAAGAAGGGAGGGAGGTACTGACTGAATTCTTCAAAAATACAGGTTGAGACAAAGAATGTCTATGGAAATATTCCAGATTAAATTACACTAAAAACACATGATGACTAAATACAGTAGTAAATGACTAGACCGAATCTTTTACTGGAGGTGAAGTAAATGCTTCAAAGGACAATATCAAGTCAATTGGAAAAATGGGTTGTAGGTAGGAGATTAGGTTAAAAGTGCACTTTGATTAAGTAAAAGTCTATCCTTGATCTTGAAAAATATACACTGGCATATTTTGAGGAAATCAGCCATACTATATGCAATTTACATTCAAAGTATTTCAAAATAATATGTTTGTTTCTGCTGAGAGTAATTGATAAAGTAAATGGTTTTAAAATTGAACAATAGAGAAGCAAAAGGTGCATATTTTTAACTAGTCTGATTCTTGCAACTTTTCTGTAAATTTGAAATTATTTTCAAATAAATTTTTCTTAAAAGCTGCATTGAACCTTTATTTTTCAGCTTAAAGTGTCTGAGAGGCATCATTAGCTTGGGGGTGTTTTGTTGCTTTATGCTGTTTTGCTTTTGTCATCTGCCAGATAAACTCATAAAAAAAGAGAGGTTTTAAACTGCATTGGTATTTTTAAAAGTTGGTGGTAATATGACTTACTATTTCAATAAGTACAGTTGCTCTGTTATACAAAATCTTGGGTACTTTTTACTTCTGTAACAGGAAAAGTGGATCTACACTGATAAGCAGGGCAATAAAATAATCATTTCAGTGGGTGGTACATTTTGCTAGATTTGAACAACTTTTGTTTGCAATGGGAAAAGAAAGAGAAGGGGAAATTGTTCATTTCAGCTGCTATAAAAAATATCTCTGAGCAGGCAGGCTTAACACAATAGAAACATGTTTCTCCATTCTGGATACTAGAAAGTCCACGATACGGTACTGGCAGATTTGGTGTCTAATAAGGATCTATTTCCTCATTCATAGATGGTGCCCCCGATTGCATTCCTGAGAGGTGAAGGGGGAAAATGAGCTCCCAAGGGGCTCCAATTGAAGAGTGTTAATCTCATTCATGAAGGTCAGTCCTCATGGCCTATTTCCCTCTTAACACTATTCACCTGAGAGTTAGAATTTTAACATGTGAGTGTTGGGAGGATACGCTTATGATTTTAATCTTAAACATGCCCCAAAGGCCCTGGTCCCAAGCCCAGAGCACTATGTAGAAGCAATGGTTGCTCTGGGAGTGGGGCCTAGTGGAAGGAAGTTAGGTCCTTGGGGGCATGTCTATGTTGGGATACGGGGACCTTTGCTCTCTATCTCATTTTGCTTCTTAGCCATCAGGAGGGGAAGAGCTTTCCTCCACCATGACGTTCTGCCTCACCACAGCCCAAAGCCAAGGGGCCAAGTGTCCATGGAAAGCACCAAAACCAAGGGCCAAAAATAAATCTTTCCTTGGTTTATTTAGGGACATCTTAAGTGAGTAACAGACACCCCTACCATATTTGTCTAGTGAAAATATGTACTTTAGCATAACCCAAGCTACACTGAGGGAATACAGGAAGCAATCTTTATGTTCACCCAGGTGGCCTGATGAATGGCAAGGTGTAATATGTTGTATTAAATATTTTCTTTTGATTTTTTCTTGTAGAATTAGCCCAATTTAGTACAATTTCACATGAAAATCCACTTTTACAAGTTTGAAAGTCAAAAGTGAGCCATCAGGTGCTTCAGCTACCAATGATGACTTAGATCATATGAGCCAAAAAGTTGTAACAGTGAGACAGAGAAAAACATGACAGAAAATTTCAGAATGAAGACTTTTATTCAGATGAGGAAAGAAACAGTAATGTAAATAAATACTGAACCAGTCAATGTGCTACAAAATGATCATGTATATTGGAATTATCCAACATTAGAGCTAGGTCAGATGTTATTAGATTCTTGCTAGGAGTGAAATCTATTGGACAGATTGCTGACACTGCAATTCAACACTGGAAATAGTTTATAACACAAGATATACTACAAGATATTTTGCAATACACTAATAATGAAATATAAGTAAAATAGTCTATATGTATCAAAAGTAATACTCAAAAGTTTCTCACAACACCTCACTGAACTAGTCTTCATAATAAGACTTTATCATTCTAATCATCAGAATTTAAAGGATTTATGAAGAAGTAACAGATGTAACATTGAGATTTTAAAATAATAATGACATTCAAGAGATTTAGTTTCTTTCCAAATTGCTACATTTTGATGACAAAAAGACCCTCCCCCACCAAGAAAGAAAAGAATCTGACAATTTTCCTGCTGCTTACTCAGTTTTTAAAAACTTTATTTCAAATTGTCGAGGAATTTATAAACCATCTGAATACTTGACAGCTGGTGAATAACTTGCATAATTTCATGGTCGTTGAAGATTTTGTCAATATATGCCAGTTAAACCTTCCAACTATGGCACACAAATATGTGCTCTGCTAGATGGAAAAAAATTTTACACCTTGAACTTAAAAATTTATCCTGAAACTCAGTCACCAGGTTCTTATTCATGCAGTAATAAATGACATTGTGAACAGATTTGCTGCACATATTTCAAAAAGTAACCCGTGTCACACTCACCAATTCACTCACTAGTTACCCATTAATGTTATATTTTCCAAAATGACACTAGTTAACCAGAACAGGAACTATTTGCAAGAAAGAAGCGGAAATTCCTGAAAAAAATGTTGCAAGTTCACAACAGAGAAAAGTATGGTATAGTCTTTACATTTCAGAAAGTCATCGCATTGGCCTCCTGTATGATGAAGAATTTATTCTGCCAACATTACACCATGATAATGAGATTGATAGTGAAGCTGAGCTTGGTGGCACATGCCTGTAATCTCAACACTTAGGAGGCTGAGACAAGTGGAGCTTGTGGGTTCAACATCAGCCTGTCTTACATACAGATTAAAGCTAGCCTGGACTACATAGCAAGACCTTGTCTCAAAAAAAAAAAATGAAAGAAGAAATGAAAAAAGAAGAAAGAAAGAAAGAAAGAAAGAAAGAAAGAAAGAAAGAAAGAGAGAGAGAGAGAGAAAGAAAGAGAGAGAGAGAAAGAAAAAAGAATCCTCAACACAAATAAAGCCAAAAATGGCCACATTTTACAACAAAACAAAAGGCAAAGTAGATGCTATTGAAGAGTTATGCAACAACTATGATGTCACTCAAAACACACAGCATTGGCCAATGGCTGTATTTTATTCAACTCTAAACATTTCAGGCATAAAGAAAATACCAAACACAAAATACCACAGAGAAATTTTCCTAGAGAATTAGGAGTGGAATTGATAAATGTTCAATTATAACAGAGGAAGAACAACATGTATCTGCCCAAAGAACTCCACAAAAGAATTTTGGGACAAACTGATGAACAGACAGGTGAAACATCACACAGACCTTCTAAGAAAACAGGAAGAACAGAAAGATTTCAACTATATCCTACTTAAGAAGACAGGAAAATAAAATACATGTGCTGCTAGTGTGATCCTTGTGTATGGAGCATGCTGTTTTCACATGTGAAAACCACTTAAGGTGCAATAATTGAAGTAAAGATCATTTTTCTGTTAGGTTTTTATTTGTATTTTCATTGTAGTTCACAGAGGAATTTATTTGTATTATTTTTTAGATTTAGTAAGCAAACTGTAGAAAATGTTGATTTTATTTTAAACTCAGTGATTTTATTCTGAACATTCAGAACACATTTGATATTTTATCTCATTGATATTTCATCTTTGTCCTAAATCTACATTGTATAATGGGAATCTCTTGACAAAACAGGAAAGCAAGAGAAGTGACAAGTATCACCTGCCAAAAAAGATAGGAAAGCAAAACACATATGCTGTCAATGTAAGCAATACTTGTATATGGAACACGTTGTTTTCATCTGTGAAGAGTGCCTTAGGTGTGATAATTCAAGCAAAGATTATTTCTGAGGTAAAGCTTTATTTGCATTTTTTTGTAGTTCTCATAGGAATTTATTTCTGCTGTTATTTTTAGACTCTGTAAGGAAGTAAACAGTTGATATGGAAAATGTAGAACATTGAAAATGTTCTAAAGACATTATATAATGGATATTTTATTTTCCTGCTAAATGCACATTGTATAATATAATAAGAAACTTCTGACAAAAGAGATAGACAAGAGACGTGACAAGAGTGATCGACCAAACAGGATAGGAAAGCTATGCACACGTTATCACTGTAAGTAAGACTTGTACATGGAGCACACTGTTGTCATGTGTGAAGACAGCCTAAGGTATGATAACTGAAGCAGAGACTGTTTCTGTGGTAGAGTTTTGTTTGTATTTTCATTGTGGTTCACATAGGAATTTACTTGTGCTGCTACTTTTTAGATTTTGTAAGCAGATAAACAGTTGATGTTTATGTCTATGTTTATGTAAAAATGGTTATGTTTATTCTAAACACTCTTGTGTTAAAATGTTAATAATTTAATTTTATTTTCAAACATATTCGGACCATAGCACTTGAGTTCCATAATAGTAAAAAATGGCCTCAAAACATATTTTTGTTTTTTTGAGACTGCAGTCAGGCAGTCTTCTTCAAATTTCTATTTGCTACTTACTAGTTGCTTGTCCTTGGAAAAGTTACTTTTGCTCTTTGCCTTTTGGTCTCTTTGTCTTTAAAAATTAGGATAATGATGGAACATACCTTAAAGAACTGTGAAAAATAAGTAAGTTAATATATGGAAAGTGCTTAGAATAGCATTTGACACAGGAAGAGTATTATAGAAGTATCTTCTATTATTACACTTATCTAATAATGTGTGTGGTTCTCAAATAGACCTCAAAATTATACCTCAAAATGAAAAAAATGTCACAAATTCTCAGTTGTTCATGTTTTAAATCATTTGCACACCAAGTGACTGAAGTTACTAAAAATATTATGCAAAAGTAAAAACTATCAGGAATCCTATTAAAGCTGATTCATATATAAGCCAACAACACTATTAATCTAAACAACTTTTACAAATAAAACTTGATTAGCTCCTTTAACCTAAATAAAGTCAACACAAATACATATCATCCCACAAATGTAAGTAAGTTTTGATTTTATTAGATGGTGAAGGGGATACACAATCCAGTTCTCTGAGAAAATTGCTGTCTGGGAGGTGGGCAAAGCTGGCTGAGTTGATTGTTCAATTTTCAGGAATTTGGTGAGCCACTTTTTAATAAGTTCGTAGCTTGAAATCTGCTATCGTCGATGTGTCAATCATTATCCGACACAAGGCTTCATTTCCTAAGGAGCTAGTTTTAACCATTTACTACCCACCACACCACTCCTAGAAGTAGCATACTATTTGGATTTGATTGATGTGAGTCTTGGTTTCATGCTGGTCATAATGTTTCTACTTTTGGACTGAAGATTTATTTCCTAAATGGTCATTTCTGAAGTGCAGCTTTTCTAATGATTTCTTCCAACCCACAGAGCAGTTATCTGAGCACGCCTACACATTAGAACCAAACTGGAAGTTTGCAAACACAAGTGTGCCAAGATTAAACCCATTGAAACATATCTGTAGGTAATTGTAGAGGCACATGCATTGCTTTTGTTAAAAAGTAAACTTAGGTATATCAATATTTTATTTGAACAAAACGTGATTCACAAAGCAAGTAGAGCCAAGCCACACACAGTCTGAGCTCCACTGAGGAGGTCCCAGGGGGAAATATTAAAAGGTATTTCTAGAAACAAGGCAAAGAAAATTTTGTTTGGTGAAAGTGGAAAGTCCCTAGAGATATATTAGCTGGTTGTTTCAGGTTGGTTAAGTACAGACTTCATTTTATTGTTTATATGGAATTGTTTTTGGTTTTCTTGGATAGAAACTTAAAAAAACTGAAGTAGCCTAATGACTTCTCAATTAATTTTTAGTAGCCTTTTTAAAAAATTTAACTCCTTGAGTGATTTCATTTTGTGGCTAGTTTGAGAACCACTGTGCCAAAGCCAATCAAAGCTGGAAATTGATGTAAGCTGGTATCCTGTTGCTATTAATTAAAGTGGAGTAAAGGTCATCAAAATCAAAAGTACCAAGAGTTCTAGAATGAAATTAAGTAACAATAGGTATAAAAATGCTTACCTTAAAAACAATTCAGATGTAATCAAGTCCTTAGTTAGGGAAGCAACTTTTTACTTCTTATCTTTATTTCCACAGAAGGCAGCACAATTGTTGTTATTCATGATAAAGCATTTGGCAAAGTGAATGTTTAAAAATAGCAAAATGTGCACCAACAGGGAAAACAAAACCAGTCATTAAGGAAAACAAAACTACAGAGCAATGCTAAATCTTTGCAAATATAAATGACCTTTCTACAGAATTTAGAAAGATCAAATTTTCTATAGCAATGCTATGTAGAATTAATTTTAAAAATATTTTCTGTATTTTTATATATAAGTAATGGAATGACATGGTTTCTGATTCGAGTTACCTGGACTTGAATTTTGGCAGTATCTACTGAAATATAAAATACTCCCTTTTACTGACTATTGTGTAACCACTTTAATCAGCCTAGCAGTATAGAGGAAATATGCCAGTCACACCAAAAAAATTGATGTTTCTATGTGAAAGGGTTTGAAAACTGGGTATGTGACAAGGTTAAATTTTATATTCATTAAGACCAGATAATATTCCTTTGTTTGAATTTAAGATGGACATGAATTTTTGTACAGCCTATCATTCAGCATTATAGTACTATTATTGTTGATCTCTTGTAATTAAATATTTAAAACTATTAAGGCATTATTAATACATGTAAAGTGCACTGAGAAAATTAAATAAAATAGCATATATTGATGGTAGAATTCAGTTGCGAGGTTTCCAAAATGGATCATCGGTAAACTTTTATCTTCTGATATAAATTGGCATCTGAAGAATACTTATAGCCCTTAAGTCAGCACAAATTTAGATTATTAAAACCTGTCTTATATATGACACATTTTATTATTTCAATCCTATATCCCTCAGCTAGATTCATCTCGCTGAAGATAATCAACCACCTAACCTACCCCATGATCGCTTCCAGGAAAGTGTCAACCTTAAGAAGATACATATGCGTTTTGTATTTTTTCCTTTCCAAATCCATCCAGTTTCTCATCCAGTAGATTCTTCATCATAATTCAAGAGCTAAAGACTCCATGCTGACTTCTTTGACCTGTAACAAAGAAGGTGCATTTGATAACTCCCATCAATGCAGTATAACAACTTATTTAACTCTCTAATTTGAAATGAAAGGCTCAGTTGAAGAAATTTTAATATTTTAAATAAAAAATTTTCAACCTACAATGTTTGATTTATAGACAAGGCTTTGTAAATGTTTGCCAGATAAGTGAGCTCATGAATGAGGCCCACTTCACTCATTCTGACCATGTCACGTACACAGAGGCTTCGTCCATGCAAAAGCAGAACACAAACAGGTGGATGAGTTTCTCAAGGATTAGTCAAAGAAAATCCCCATGTTTGGAAATATACGGACAGCAAAATAATAATAATAATAATAATAAAACAATGAAATGCCATCTAACTTTCCTCTTTTCCCTTTGAGATGGTTAGGGCTAGAATATTCAACTATAAACAGGAAAACTGCTTCAGTCTTTCTCTGACACATCAAATGTAGAACTGAGAGGTTATCCTTGAAATGACTCCACAGGAAAACAAAGAGATTTTTTTCTTATTTGAAAATCATGGAAGACAGATGAGGGACTTCATGAATTAGCAATATGTTCAAGAATCATGCCCGCTTGACCATGGATACAGCTCGGTGGCACAGCACTTGCCTGGCAATTGTGAGGTCCTGAGTTCAATTTGGCAGGTGTGTGTGTGTGTGTGTGTGTGTGTGTGTGTGTGTGTGCGCGCATAATGTCGGCTTAAACATGAAACATAAAATAGATCAGTTCTAAGACAGAGTCTATAAGAGCGTGCTATATATTTATCTTGCAGAGTTAGTTCATCTTGATTTTAGACATTAGTGCAAATTTAACTTGCATATCCAGCATTTTGGTGGGGTGGATGTAGGGAAAAATTTTGAAAGCACAGAAGGAAACTCATTTTAATTATCTTGTAATTGTGGAACTGTTTTTATAAATCATTGAAATCAGAATTCCTGTGGAGATCCGCACTGCTTTCTGCTCCTTTGTACACATTTTGCTGATTCAGCTGGTTGGTCAATGAGATCATTTTTAGTCAGATCGTTCCACATTCAGCAACTGTCTGAACTGAAACAACTTTGTCTACTTTCAGTCCAAACGTTCAGCAAGGCTGTGGGCAAAATTGCAAGGAAGGTGCTGAAATAACTTTAGGCAACCAGAAGGGAGCACAAATCTATCCTAATGGAAAGCTGTGATCTAGAGAAAGTAGAAGACAATATTATCTAACCATAAATTAGAGCTATCAGTCCAGAAAGTAGAAATACGACTCAAAGTTTCAAGATTACCAAACAATACCCCCCACTCCACTTCATCCATCCCAAAGAATAAAGTGAAAAAAATCCCAATACATGCACACAATAATTGTTAGCAACAACATTTCAGACACTGCCTTGAATAATCAGCTTGAAAAATCACACAGTCATAGAGAAGCAGCCTGCAAATTCAGTGGGCAGAGACAGATTAACAAACAGCAGAGGAAAAAAAATTGAGAGAAGAAACCCTGCCTTCAAATAGTCAATGAGATAAGGGGTAGAGAACACAAACGTGCTGAAGGGGATTAACTGAAAACAAAAATATAAAATCTCATAAATTTGATGTCACTCTTTGAGGCTGAGTTTGAGAAAGTCATGCTATATAATCAGAATCGCAGATCTGGAGTGGTCCTTTTCTGTGTCCTCCACTGTCTTTCATTAAGAATCCTTCCTGGAGGGCACAGGAAGAGTTCTTAGGAATCATATCATTGAAATTGCTACAACCCGAGCATCCATAATACCACTTAAACCAAGTTTTCTCTTACAATTTCTGTGTAGTTCAGCTATGTCCGATATGTGGTAAGAATTACCTGCCCACCCTGCCCTTACCATCAGACCCTTAGGGCTCAAGGCTTAAATGGTCTCTTACCTGCTATCCCGGCAGACTCATTGCCAATAGTAACCAAATATGGCCAAATCAGGATTATATAAACAAATGGGGAAATATTTCTGCATTCACAAAAGGCAATTGGCCATTCCCATTTTTGTTAAGTAGAAACTCTTGTGACATTCAGTATTGATCATAGATATTTTTATCACACTAACTTGGTCTAGAAAGTCAGTTATGTGCAAAGGTGAAGTTCTGATTTTTCTTGAAAAGGGGTTCATTAGGGAGATTGGCCTGTAGGTCTCTTTGTTGGTTGGAGCTAGTGTGCCGTAAATAGAATAGCTACTTCTGCTTTCCCCAGATTCCTGTCACATTTAGCGTTGTTTTCCACCTCATGACTTTTAGTTTGTGAATTTCTTTGTGTGTTTCTTGTATGCAACACATTGTTGGATCTTGTTTCTTTAGCCATTGTCTGTTTCTTTTTATTAGTGAACTGAGACCATTAATATTGATGGTTATAACTGATATATATTAACTTATCCTTTCATGTTATTTTCCTATTGTTGTCTCCCTTTTGGTCTCTTCTGTTTAACTGTGTGATTTGCCTGGTGGAGCCATTCTGTTTGGGTTCATGGAGTCATAATTCTTGTTATCTCTTTCTGGAACATCTTTCAGAACATTTTGGAATACTAGTTTGGACTTAATGAATTTCCTTGGGTGTTTTTGTCATGGATGAATCTTATTTTTCTGTCAATTCTGAAAGACAGTTTTGTGGGATGTATCAATCTGGGCTGGAGCTTATTTTCTTGTAGGCCTTGAAATATTTCACTCCAAATTCTCCTTGACTTGGGAGTTTCAATTCAGAAGTCTGAAATGATTCTGATGGGATTTATTTTTTAGGGGATTTGTTTCTTTTTTCTAACAGTTTTTAATATTCTTTTCTCATGCTGAATTTCTAGAATCTTGACCATTATATGCCATGATGTAGATTACTTTGATCATGGCTAATTGATGTTCTATATGGCTCACTTATCTATATGTCAAATTAATTTTTTCTCTGAATAGGAAGTTTTCTTCTATGACAGCTGACTTCTCAACACAAATCCTCAAGTAAAGAAGAGCTTGGAGTGGAGTATTTCAAGTATCAAAAGATAATAGCTTCCAGCCAAAACTGACATGCCCTGCAAAACTATCTTTCAGAATTGATGGAAAAATAAGATACTTCCATGATAAAGAACAACTGAAGGAGTTCATTACCACCAAACCAACCCTACAAAGAGTGCTGAAGGATATTCTAGAGAAAGAGAAAGATTACCACAGTTCTCAGCTTGCGTGGCTGCACCAGGACTCCCCTTATGGGACAGGTGCAGAAGGGCATGTCTGTGTGATTCTCCCGGCCAGTGCCGGCTGCCCATGGGGAGCAAGGGCCTTTGATAGCAGCCTGCAGGCCCACAGAGCTTATCTGGATATTTCTCACTGTCCACACTGGTTACTTGCAGGAAATAAGTATTTGCAAAGGCAGGTCTGGCTATTTCCTCTTGCCCATGCTGGCTGCTCAAAAAAGGCAAGCCTTCTGATGGCAGCAGGCACACAGGAATGGGTCTCCGCATTTGCTCTCAGTCTCCTGGATAGCAGTTTAAATCTGTTTCATGGATTCCATTTCTTTCCTGTGTTGGGTATTCATAGTTTTCATTATTTTCCTAAGTGCCTCTGTTTTTATCTGTATCTGCTCTAGAGTCAGTAAGCATGTTTTTCATTATGGCTACCATCTCTGTAGTTTTCTGAGAAATTATTTCTGATTTGCTATTTTCTAGTGCCTTGTTCATCTGCTTTGTTACCTTTTTGTTACCACTTCAGAGAGTCCAGGTTGGTGGCTTTTGGATTGTTCTACCTCATAGCCCTGTAGGTTTGTCTTTGGTGAGCTGCAAGTCTGGATTTGCATCTTGTTTAAGTGTCTTCTCATTCTCTCTCTCTTTCTCTCTCTCCCTCCTTTCCTCTTTCTTTCTTTCTTTCTTTCTCTCTTTCTTTCCTTCCTTATTTCCTACTTTTAGTTTAATTCCTGGGCTGATGCCTATAAATTTCTTGTGGTAAGTAGCTTTATTGCTAGTATTTACTGTCCTTAAGAAACGATTTCTCAAGGTGTCTTCCAGTTGCATCTGGATTTTGAGTCTATTGCAATATCCTACCTCTTCAATTTTTGGGGGATGAGAAGTTGCTGTCTATTTTGCCTAGCCCCTGGTTCTTTGGCACTGGCCTATAGTATTTTTTATTAACCTTAGGCTAGCTCAGTCTTGGTATATCCGGAAGAACAACTGATTTGAACAATTATGTTCACATTGGCTAAAGTGGTGCGATCAGCAAATACTGTAGCACCAAACACATCCTAGAAAATGACAAACTGAGCTAAACAGGAATTTGTCATCTTTTATTGCATGAACTAGATTTATAATTATATCATAAACCTAAAAAAAGCCAAAAAATTATAGGCAGTAAATAGCCCTCTGTATGACAATAATACCCTCATAGGGGAAAATTTTAAAGGCCTTAGAGGGAAAGCAGAGACATAGAAGAAGAGGGAATAATTAGAAACCAGGTTTGAGGACAAAAGAAGATCATTCAAACTTCGGGAAATTGGTGAAGAAGACAGGAGGGTAAGAGAGAGGGAAAAAATGAGAATAAGAACAGAACAACAACAACAAAACTATAAACCATGTTCACACTTACATAAAAACAAGAACAGACAACTGAGGCAAAGGAAAAGCAGAGAGAAAGAATAAAGAAGAAAATAAGGAAAAAAAAGAGGTCACCTTGAGGTGTATCTCTCCTGTCACTGGTAGACAACGTGGGCAGGCAGAGTCCAGATCTGAGTTGATTAATCCCAGCAAGGCAGCCACAATTTTACAGCAGGGGAGTGGATAATCCTAGCAAGCTTGCATCTTTCACTCCACTGAAGTTCAGGGTGGTTTCTGGCTGTAAGGTTAGAAACAGATTTGTTAATCGTGCAGCAGTCTGTAAGCCTCCTGTTGGTTTACACTCAGGTCCCTCATCCTGTCACTGGGACCCACTAGATGGAGCCAGCCTGCAGCTGTTCTGAGTTCTGAGTTCACCTGGTCTCTCTCCAAGAAAGGCTACCAGTCAGTTGCCCTCTTCTGAGGGACGTCTGTTGTGGCCACTTCTCTGCTCCACTGGTGTGTTTCTTTGTGAAGGCCCGTAAGGTTGGCAGTAGTCGCTGTGCATGAGCTTCCCTCTCATGCAGTGAGTACAGGCCTAAGGAAAAGTGCCACCTGCCACATCCTTCTTCACTGAATTTCCTCTCTTTACTCTCCTCATGACCTTCATTTTTTGCTTCAAATCCTTCCTGGGCCCTGGAGACCCACTTCCCTCCTCTTCCTCATATTGTTATATTCATGTCTGGACACCAAATCTCAGAGATGCTCTTTCTATCCTGCTCACCACTCGACCATCTTTCTGGAAAATCAGCACTTCATTTGTCTAAACAGGAGTTTTTAAAAGGACCTATTTTATACATTATTGTGAGAATCAAATAGCATTATACAAACGAGGCACTAAGAAAAAAGCCTAGTTATAGAAAAAGCACAAAGAGGAGTTAGTTACAAAGAGAACCATTCCCTCTTGAAAATAACACTTCCTACAAGTCCAAAGAGAGTTTTAGTGAGTTTATCCAGAGACTTTCATTTTATAGGTTGAGTAAAAGGGAGCTTGTTCAATTAGTAAGCAGTTTGGAAGCAGCTTGTTCCACCACTTTCATTGGTTACTGGTACCTGAAGTCAGATGAAGCCTGGGAAGGCTATGGCCACTCCATCTTATTAACAGCTGTTTGTAGTCATTGCCCAGCATGCTGTGGTGGCAAATTCAACCCCTATAGGTTTTGTGTTTTAAGAACAGACAGGTAAAACTGAAAATAGATTTACTGAAGACTCAACACTAGAATTCTGAGTAATACAGGTTGCAAGACTAAGAATTTGCTACCATTGTTAAAAGTGTTTGTTAGTGGAAAGAATCAACCCAGGGCAATGAAGGTTGACACTGAACCTGAAATGGACCTCCTAAGCCAACCAAACCACCAATAGAACCCAGACCACACTGTAGCACAGTTCAGTTGAGAGTCTCAAGAGTTCCTTTTAAAGGATGCAGGAAATCAATCAGTAAGCCCAAACTACTGAATATTTCTATTTTATTATGTCCTCTATAGCATTTAATTTAAAAACTGTTAAAAAGATAGAAATAGGACACAGTTCTTGTTATACAGTTGAGATTCACTTACCAAAGCAAGTCTTTTTCTGATATTCTCATTTTGATCTAAAACATTGAGCTAAGGAACACATCAGTTATTGTTGTAATTTGATATTTCACTGTATGTTCCCCACAGATTATTTAAATCAATATTCTTACAATTCAGCAGGCAGAAAGTCTTAAGGAATAGTACTTCAACAAAGTATATGCCAGAGTGAATGTGTTACAAATCACAACACCATATTTTCAGGGAGTGGTTATCTTGATAGCTAACCAAAAACTAAGACATCCTTAGAATTCTGGGGTTGGGAGGAAGTTTGACATTTGCACATTAGAATTGGGTCAGCAAAACCTATGTATAATAAGGCTGTATTGTTACCTACTTACAACACCATTTCAAGAATTTCATCCCTTACTCTTTATTTGCGATAGTTTACTATAAAGTTATGTCTTCCTGGCTTTTCCACCCATTTTGGGAGCCAGCCTTTACAAACAGGTATAAATCAGGAAAATCAGCCTCAGCAACAAGCAAAAGTATTCTGAACAATGCATAATATCATGGCAAGCTCCCAAATCACTGCGAAAATGCCAAAAGGAAGTCATTTGGTTCTAAATGCGAACGGTGAGGATGTTAGTTCACAATGTCCAATCAAGACACGTTATATTAGGACTCCCAAGAGAACACCCCCAAATACAGCAAAGGTCACAGAAGTTAATGATTTTATCAGTGTTGGAGCACTTCCCAATTGGCAGAATATGTGCTTCTTGTACAAACTGAATTTCCCTATTTCTTTCCATGTGAGTGAAAGATCATGGGCAAAGCAAGTATATTCTGAGTTAGGTCACAATTTCAGCTATGTGTCTCTTGAATTAGATTCATACCCTAAGAGAGATGCTCAACTGAAAAGCAACAAGCCAGGCATCAAGGTGCATCTGTCTAATACCAGCACTCTGGAGGCTAAGGCGGAAGAATTATAAGTTTAAGTCCAGCTCCAGAAACATCAGTACTCCTTAAGCCAAAATAAAGGAAATAAATAACAAGCAATATTTATTTATCCCTTTACAATTTACAAAATGAGTTCATACTCATGAGTACTTGCTCACAGCATGCTTGAGAGCGAGGCTTTACAATTCTCATTTTACAAGTTAGAATACTATGGCCCGTGGGAGTTAAGCCACATGTCTTAAATCACATAAAACTAATTTTCTGATTCCAACTTTAGTGTTCCTTCAGCTACTGTGCCATGATGATTGGAGAGACAGCCTAAAAGCAGAATATCAGGAGAGGAAAATAAATTTGGGACATAAAGATTTAGAAGACATTTTAAAAATTGGTGGAAAATTAGCTACACAATCTATTAGATTTCCTTAAAGATATTCAGCCTTTTCCTGATTAGGAGCTAAATATAATCCTGAGCAAGGTAAGAGAGGAAAACAAGCCATATGTGTTCAAACATTCTGCCAGCTAGCAGTTCTCACAAGCACATTAGCGGGAACCAGCTAAGAGACAGGCTGGAGCCCGCCAGGGCTCCCCAGGGGATTTCTGGCACCCTTCCGCTCCTTGTCCAGTGCTGCACACCAGACAATCAGATATGACGGGATGACCTATACCATGTGTCCTACTTGTTTTATGTAGACTTCCATACTAGTTCAATTTTTTCTTGAGCTTCTTTGTGATTCTTCTACATCGGGGAACGTTTAGCTTCACTTTTTGGGATTTCCTCAATGGGTAAACACAGGGATGTTTTTGTGAGAATTTCTTCAGCAAAGCCACAGACACCAACTTCGTATTCTAAGAGTGCCACCATGTATAGAGATATACAGAGCATACACACAAACATGAAGTGCTTAATGTGGGCCCCCTGAGCTCTAGCAATCTATTCCAGAGTATAAGTAGGTCTTTGGCGGGTCATCATTAAAGGACAAAAAGTTATAACATCACTGAAAACAGTTAAGTTTCGTCACCAAATCTTTATAAGCTGCCCTTTCCAGGCATTCCGGATAAGAGGTGATTTGGTGATATGTGAGGTTACTGTGTTTAGGAATATGAACCATTTTACTGTAATTCTGCGAATGCTTCCTTCAGCATGAGGACAGGGTTAGCACAGGAAGGGGTAGTGAAGATGCCAAGCCAAATGGGAAGCATCTGTTCTGCAAGCAAGGGGTGCACTGAAAGCACAGAAGTGTGACGCCACCGCCAGGAACTGTGCACAATAGAGTCCAGAGTGGCCACGCTTCGCTCCCTGAGGACTGAAGTCGGAGGACGGCTGTGCACTTGAGATGGAGAAAACAGACCTGATTCCAATCCAGCAGAGCTTGGAAAAACTGGCTTTCTTTATGCCAAAGACTAAAACTAGACCCATGTCTATCACCATGTGCTAAACTAATAGCACAATGGGCCAAAGATCTAAATATGTTTAAACACTAAATCTATTAGAAGAGAAAATGGGCAAAAATCGTGAAGACATAGGTGTAGACAGAGACTTCATGAAGCCAGCCTAGATCACATAGGAAATACTATAATGAATTAACAATGAGGATCTTATCTTATTTAGAAAAAACTGTTGCACAGCAGAAGAAATCAACAAAGAGTGAAAAGGCAAATGACAGAGTGGAAAAAAATTTTAACTAGTTACTCCTCAGGCAACAGACTAATATCTAGTACATATAAAGAATTGAAAAAAAAATCAGAGCCCTCAATTCAAAGACCCAATCCAAAAATGGGCATCTGGATTGAATCACATTTCTCAGATGAAGTAAAAATGGCAAATAAATATATTTTAAAGTTTTCAGTATCACATGTTATTTGAGAGATGTAAATTAAAACAACACTGGAATTCTATCTCCCTCCAGAAAACATGGTTATCATTAAGAAATCAACCAATAACAAATACTGATGGAGCTGTGCGGAAAGGGAACCCTTCTTCACTGTTGGTGGGAATGTATATTGGTACAATGACTGTGGAAATCAGCATGATGATACCCAAAAAAACTAGGACTAGAGGTACTATTTGACCTGGCTATTCTTCCTGGTATTTTTCCGAAAGAATTAAAAGCATTATACAGCAATATATCCTCATCCATGTTTGTAGCAGCACAGTTTGTAACAGCTAACTCTTGGAAGCATCCCAAATGCTCATCAACTGACAAATGGATGAAAAAAGATGTGGGTTTAAAAAAAAAAAAAAAAATATATATATATATATATATATATACATATATAATGAAGTATTGCTTTACTTTACCATAAAGAAGGATAATTGCTTTACCATAAAGAAGGATAAACTTGAGTCACTGCTAAATGGATGGACCTTGAGACCACACTCTTAACTGAAATAAATTGAGCACACGTGTAAATATCATTGCATCACTGGTGTGAGAAACTGAAAGAATAAGAACCAAATTGGGCAAGAGATATAGTAAAATGGGAAGCAATTATTCAAAAGGAAACAGGAACTAGGGAAGTAGGAGGGGGAAGAAAGGAAGGGGAAAGAAAAATGATAAAAGGATAAAATGTCAATGAGTCTCTGTAAAAAGGAGGGGAAGAAGGGCTGAAGGGAAGGGAGAGGAACAAAAGACAAATCAAAGTATTTTATGTGTAGGTCCAAAATCCCTATTATGAATATGATCATTCTCTATGCTTAAATTGTATCAATAAATTTAATTAAATTTTAAAAATTAAAAAAAGTCCAGCAGAACTTTCTTCCAATTGTACT